CAAGGGTCAAAGTAAGTATTTCAAGACATGGCCGGCTGGTGATGTGCTATATTGTATGAGATCCATGAATCACAGAATTGTGATGCTTATTCCTGGTCAGGGAAACCGCACTGGCCAATGGTATCAACCAACCTCGTGGGACCCACAGTCCTTGCTGCTGAAGATACTGCATAAGATGGTTTGGCTTTTTCTAGTGCAGATGTCTCTTGGAAATGATCATCCACGTAGTATCCCAAGTGTTGTCGCCAAGTCATCATGTTATGACAATGGAAATCCTCAGTCAGTTTGATAATTTCCGGTACAGGCAGAAGTGGAGCCTGTGCAGAAGGCAGCACCGGCCATTTTTTGTTTCTGGTGGAATCTGGGTATGGTCGGACATGGTCAGACATAATAAATTTGACCGGAGTTTATATAATGGGATCTAATGATCTAATGGTGAAGTAATGGTTTTCCAAATCCTAGCAAGTAATTGTTGGCTTCATAGCGTGTACAGCCGTTTTTAGAGGTCACAAGCCATTTTGAGCACATGCGCGCCGATCTGGCCTGGTGCATGCTTGTGGCAGGATGAGAAATATGTAATGAGTAATGTGAGGCGTGGGACATATGCAGAGGATCTGCAAAGATGCATTTTCCGGCGCAGGCGCGGTGCAAGAGACATGTTCATCAGAGATGTTAGGAGGTCCGGGCGCTGATTTCCTGAGAGGGGTTGCATTTTGGAGCATCAGATCTTCAGTTTTGGGAAGATGATTTTGCGTGACGGGTGCAGCACTTCGTATGACCTGGCCTCACTTTTTTCGTGGCAAGCGCAATACTTTAGACAGGTGGAGTCAGGTGGAGTGGAAAAATCGCAAAACGAATTTGTACAAGGCCGTCAGCTCTGCACTCAACTTTCCATTTTTGAAAGAAGTCTCGCAGAATTGCTTCGTTTTTAATGTTGTCAACTTCGAAAAATGAGGAAGTCTCGGAGCATTGTAATTGTTTCGTTTTTAGACGTCAAGTTCAAAAACTCAGGAAGCCTCGCAGAATAGCTTCGTCTTCAAGCTTGCAGAAAGACAGATAGATAGATAGATACATAGATAGATAGACAACTACAACTACAACTACAACTACAACTATAAGTACCACTACGCTACACTAAACTACACTACACTACTACCACAACTACAAGTACAAATATACTACGCTACAGTACACTACAGTAATTGCACGACACGACACTACACCTACTACAACGGCAGCTACTACTACTAGTACTTCAACTGCTGCTGCTACTACTGCTACTGCTGCTGCTGCTACTACTAATACTGCTACTACCACCACCGCCAACACCGCCACCACCACGACGACGACGACTACTACTACTATATACTACTACTACTACTCCGACTCCGACTCCGACTCCGACTCCTACTACTACTACTACTACCACTACTACTACTACTACCACTACCACTACTACCACTACTACCACTACTACTACTACCACTACTACCACTACCACTGCTACCACTACTACCACTACTACCACTACTACCTTACCACTACTACCTACTACCTACTATACCTACTATACTATACCTACTATACCTACTATACCTACTACCTACTACCACCACAGCTACAACTGCAATTACAGCTACACTGCGTTACACTACAATGCACTAATTAAACTGCAGCACATTAGAGCTACAAATACACATGCAACTACAGCTACACTATATTACGCTACGCTACACTAATCACATTAATTACAGTACACTACAACTGCAACTACCGCTAAATTGCACTACACGACACTACACAACAACTACAACTACAATACGCTAGGCTACACTACACTATACCACGCTACAGTACACTACAATACACTACACTAATTACACCACACCACAACTACAACTACAACTGCAACTACACTACACTAATACCACTAATTACACTACATTACAACATATTACAACTACAGCTTACAACTACAACTCCACTACACTACACTAGAACTACAACTTCACCTACAACTACAACTGCACTACACCACACTACATCCAGCAGTTGTGGTGAGGTGACCACTGCAACCATTGCAACCACTCCCGAAAACACAACTCCAACCACCTTTCGGTCCACCAGTGGATTCGATCTGCCATCCGTGAGTCACAACAACCAACCCTTCCTATAGGACTCTATAGGTTTCCTATTTTTGAAACTTCCGCCACCGCCTTGTGTGGTACTACTGGTATATACGTCCGGGGCATCTCCAGCCTGGAGATGGTGGTGTTCGACAGCCAAAACTATTGGCCTGCAACAATGGTGTTATGACACCTGAAGACTAGGCAAACTGGGGAAAAGTGCAAACATGTGCAAACATGTGCAAACCATAAATGCACACTGAACATCACTGAACCGATCTAAGCTGGACACAAGCAAGCACTAAATTTCCCCCACTCGGTGCCTGTACTAGCTCAGTGCCTTCGACAGTGAATAGCCAGCACAAACTTTGCACCGCAGATTCTGGGGAGTTATCCTTGGCAGGGCGGCAAAGCATTCGAAACAGGTCCTACTGAGGTCCTATACTGGCATCCCATTGCACTTGAGGCTTCGGCATTTCCAGTGCCAAGGGCAATTCTATCCCCTGCAGGGCCGCCGAGCCCATGAAACTTGAAATCCACCGGTCAAATCATGTCGGAAATGCTTGAAACACAAGTCGACCACTCCATGAATCTCCATGGTCCATGGTGCTCGGATGCGGGTATGACACACGGTCTAGCAAACAATTGAAATGGTCCCAAGTATGGACATGTACAAAGAATTATGAAACATGTTGAAAGATCATCAAACGAGGGAGATGCCAAGCCTGTCTGCAAGTCAACAGGATCGCCCCGTTGTAGTTCTATTGGCTCTGCACATGATCTGAATCGCCATATTGGATTGGAGGTCAATGTTCTCATTTGAAATTGGCCGCGACTGAAACAAATACTAAAGTGATCTCGACTCATGAAGGGCAGGCAATCTTGCGCCACAGAGCGCTTCAGCAGTTCCGGCTGATGCTTTCTGCCCACGAACCTTGAGCCGACCCGAGTGGCTGTCAGAAGGCTATTCACATGCAAACATATACAAACTAATCTTGCACACTAGGTCACTAGGCTATAGCTATCCACATTAATTACATGTTTTAGATACACGATGTAAATACACTGTGCCACAGTGCGTGTGTAATTATGCTCTTTGGTGCCATGATATATATATATATATATAATATGCTTATTTACTTATCTATTTTATTTTGCTTGATTATAACCTATATAACTGTTTATTTCTTTTTATATAACTTCCATAATTATACTTGCAACACCATGCCACAACACAATGAACTCAATTGAACAGTTTGAACCGGTAGATACTAGTAGAATAAATATTAGGCAAGCAGCAATGTGTGGTCTGGCAGCTGCAAAAGGGACACGGGCCCAATCTGACGGTCTGCGAGTGGCGCATCCTCCTTGACCCCTTCACCCGACAACTCCAAGCGAACTGTAGAGCTTGTAGGCCTCCAGATTTTGACAAACGGTCATGTGCGCAAGAGCACATCCACAGCCGATGCCTTGTCTTTGCTTCCTCTTGGCATCTTGGTGATCGACTGACCTGCCGCCATCATTGCCGCCGCCACCACCACCACCACCACCACCAACAACAACAACAACAACTACTACTACTACTACTACAAAAACCACTACAGCAAGAACAAGGGTCACAAAATTCGGCCCAAACCAGAACTGCAAGCTGAAAGGAAATCTGAGTTTAGAATGCAGGATGCCACGAGAGCTCAGCGCACCCTGCATGAGGATGAAGAAAGGTCTCGGCTGACTTTTCGCCGCGGTGGAGACAAAGTCAGCAAATGCACCTCCTTCGGGCCAGGACAGTATGAAGAGTCAATTTTTATCAAATTTTGCTACTGAGCAGCTACTGTCTGATTCTGTGTTCCTGTACCATGCTGTACGTGTGCTGTACGTGGACCCGGTCACTGCGGCTGCAAGTGGCTGTGACTGACACGCTCGCCGTGGCCTGAGGACTGCTGCTCTCCGCCTGAGTTGGGCGTTGAGCCCTGGCCTGGCTAACCGGTTCCAGGAATCTCTGGCCAAAAACACAGGAATGTCAAGAATCACATCGAATAATGATACAACATATATCAACATATGATATAATCATATATAAATTATATAATTTCTGGAAATATATCATATAAAATAGTATAAAATAATTATATGGATTGGGCATGATAGGGCTGGAATCTGGAAATCTATGGGAATGATTCTGTTCCTGACATTCTTAGACAATTTCGACGGCGGGACGTCTCTTGGAGGGGACAAATGGGCTTCACCGCTTGAGCGGCTGTGCATGTGGGCAGCCTCCGCAGCAAAAATTGTCCGTGTTTGAGCAACAAATGGCCGACACCAACAGGTTCAACAGCATGCAGTTCAGTTTATCCTTGAGAAGTTCAAAAATAGTTCAGCAACAGTGAACCATGGTGTCCTCTAAGCGACGGCCAGGAGGAGAGAGGAATCCTCGGACTGGATTGGTGTCTTGGCCAAGAAGCACACCGTGGCTAGAGCAAGGATGACTCCAATTTGCTTATTTGAATTTATTTGATCTCATTTGCTGCTCTGAGTCTGTCGATTCGGGCATCAACTCGCAAGACCTTCCAACCATATCCAACCATTCTGTTACTGTACAGCAGGGTATCAAATGCAAATTGTGTGAGTAAAACAAAAATATAGACATTGGGACATGTCCAGACCGTCTACAAGTCACAATTCATGATCGAAATGTGTTGCAATGTGTTGCAAGCACACTATTCAGGCGCGGTCAGCAGGATTCCCAGCTGCAAGATGCTGCAAGCCTGAAATTTCAAGAAGTGCACGTGGTTGCCAGACTCTTCTCTGGCAAATCCCACCATCTGGCCATTCTCCACTCGTTGAGTTTGGCCAGGCAGAACATGATGGTCATCCACATACAACCTAACGCGACGCTGCCCGTGACCGGGGCCAGTCCCAGAATAATATGGTGCACTACTTCTGGAGACGAGTTCACCATAGTTTTGTTGCGATTGACGATCTGGAAGATGCGTTGGCAATTCTTCATGCTTTTTAAAATCCCCCCGGAATTGCCGGTCTGACTCGAACTCCTGAGTTTGTTTAAATGATTATCAATTATATGAATAATCATATTATATAACGCTGATAACCTGTATGTCCGGATATGTCCGGGGTACTGCTCCACATTGCACACAAAACCAAACACCCAAACGCCCAGAGAATTGAGTCATACTGTACTGAGTCTATGCCACCTCTTTGTAGCTTCTTGGCTGGCATTGCGTCTCTGTAAAAAGAACGTCCAAATGAGCGGGCAATATGATGCAATATGTACCTGTTTCATCATTTCAAATTGATTTCTCGAGGCCTTCGCTATGTCTCTCCCACACAAACTTTCCTCACACCTTTTTAAAACAGAACGTAACTTGCAAACAAACATTCATTCAAACACACCTCTTTTCATGTGGAGACAAAGGGAATCAAATGGATACACAGGTGTCATATTGTTTTTTTGGGGGGGGGCTACCGTAGAATCAATGAAGTGGAGGGTCCTTTTTCAAACAACCCGAGTCGAGTCGAATACCCTGCTTTTGAGAATTTTTGAGATAATTGCTGCAAAGAGTCGGATTGTTGCTTGGGCTCACATTGGTCAGAAGAACAGCAGTCCCATCAGGGTCGGCTTCCAACTTCCCGTGCGCACGGGAAATGAAGGAAGCGAGCTTGGGCCGCTCAGCTGCCTTCACCAAAGCCTCGAACTGGTTCTGATGCAAGCGGCCAAGCATCATTGGCATTTGTGTCACGTGTATGTCCCTGACAGCACTGCGAAGTTCTGCAAGTTGTCCAGCAGTCAACCCCTCTACATGAGTGCAAGCTAGCACCCAGGAGGACCTTGGTCTGGCAGAAGGGCTTCTGATATCCTGAACAGCAGGACCTGTCAGGTTTTCGCGATTTTCTCGGTCCTCCTCCTCTGCTCTGCGAACCGTCCGTCGTGGAGGTGGCGAGGTCGGCTCCTCCACATCAACCTTCTCGGCCTTCTCGGCCTTCTCGGCCTTCTCGGCCTTCTCGGCCTTCTCGGCCTTCTCGGCCTTCTCGCTCAGCTCGGAGGCGGGTAGGTACCGCAAACAAAGTATCATGGTCCCTTCAACTCCATGGGCGAATAGGATTTCAGAGCGGGGATGCAGTGGAACTGCTGCTTCCCGGGGAGCAACCCTACCATCCACAGACACAAGGCCCTGGCCTCTTACTATCAAAGATGCGCTGCCACCTTGTCTATCACACACAACTTCAAAGGCTGTCCGTGATATGCAGCACTGGAGGGCCTGGTCAGGAACCCACGCTTCGAAAACTCTTTGCTGGTGGATTCGTCCAACTGCAAATGCAAACATTCCATTGCCGTCGGTAGACGAGTTGGGATTCGGCTTCAAAAAAATGCATTGCAACTCGGCGGGAAGCAAATTGCCAGTCTCAACACCACTGGCAGAAAGAAATTCCAATCCGAAAGTGGCCAAATGACTGTGAGGAAGAGCCACCAGCACAGGACTGGGAATCTTCACTGGCTGCTGCTGTTGCTGCAGCTGTTGCTGCAGCTGCTTAGCACTGTCTCCATCTTGTGGCACCTGGACTGGCCCTTGTGGCTGGACAGGTGCCGCATCGACCAAATGTTGAGCTGGTGGCGGTGCAAAAGCTGAAGGCCTTGGACTTTGCGGCGCTATGTATCTATGTATGTAACATGTGCGTACGTACGTACGTACGTACGTATGTGCGCATATCATTTTTTCAAGTTCGTCTGCTTAAATTGGTTTCCGCTCCGGAGCTGTTTTCCTGCTTGTTTGCGGCATTTTGGAGCTAACATCATTTGTTTGCCTATATAGTCCTTCTAGCATTTTGAAGCAAAAAACATGTTTCCTTCGCAGGGTAATTAGAAGCACTTTGTACGCACGTGCAGTGTAGTTGAAGATTAATGAAGTTTGATTCGATGATGTTTGATGCAGGTTGCATTTCTCATTGGCTTTGTATTTAGAGCAAGGATCTTCCATTTGCAAGGTGTTTGATGGTTTTTGCACGTTTTGGAGATTCAACGCTTCGTTTTAACGGACCTTCGCTTACACGGTATTTGCAGCATTTTCGACCTACGTACAGCTTGTCGCGCGATTGGCATGTGCGGGTAGCAGATGCTTGCTTGTTTCTGATTATTTTAATCTGATTCTTATTGATTCTTGCTACAGTATGTTTCTTGTCGTTGTTCTTTTTCCTTGTTGTTGTTGCTGCAGCTGCTGCTGCTGCTGCTGCTGCTTTCGTTGTCGCTGCATACCCTGGTTGCTTTGATATGTTTCTCTCTTTTTGTGCTGGATCTTAGTTAAGTTGTTGGATCGTGGCTGGATGTTGGATGCTTTTTCTTGGTCATGTTATTTCAATTTCATTCAATTTCCAGTCTTCATTTTTCTCGAGGCTAAGAACAAGTTAACAGTTAAGTTAACAGTTAAGAAAACCACAAGCCCAAGAAGGCGCCACACAGCCAGGAAATTAATGAGAATTCATGTCCCAAAATGCTGCCAGCGAGAAAAACAGCTGTCAGACCGGAAAACAACAGGATTGTCGCAATGAAAAGAACCCTGTAAATTCAAATCTATTTGACAGGACAGCCGAAGATTCTTCCACGAAGCCAAGGTTCTGGGAAGGCTTGGGAAACCGTTCGTTCATCTTCCTCAATGACTTGACCAACTCGACGAAGCGAGGGCGTTCCTCGGATCAACTTTCGGCTTGTGCTAGCTGCGCCATCTCAAGGAACAAGCTACTCAAAGCGAAGGAAGAAAGATAGAAATAATATAGTATGAGATGATGATAGATGATGCAACATGTAAGAAGAGGCTGCCGAGACGCCTCATCCTGCGCATGAACAGCGCGCAAAGCCATCTCAGTCATTTCCCGAGCCAACTGCGAAGGCCAAGCAGCCTTGCTGTGCTGCACGCTGCACACTGTGCTTGAGTTTTGATGCGTCATGACGAATCATAAACAGAAAAACTGACTAAGTATGTCTATATGTGCCTATGTCATATCGTGAATGATCAAAATGTTGATCACTTGACAGCATTGGAAAACAATGGAAAGCACGTTGACACCTTCACTGCCGACGTGGTAAGATACACTTTCGTTGCTCAAAGGCAGAAGAAGTTCTCATTGATGCGTGCCGATGCATGTTGGTGAAAGGTCCGAGGAGCTTTTGCGTCCAAGTGTGCCATGCAACGATCAAGCGCCCCAGGACTGTCTTGCCTTCACAGTTGCAGTTTCGAACATCTCCGGATCAGCTGAAAGCGCTCCCAATTAAGCGCTAGAAATAGAACAGTCAAATCCATTCAAATCCTGCAAACCTAAAAACCACTGACTTTGACTTCAGCGCGCGGTACTGCTACTTTTGCGGTTGCTCTAAATCTCACCTCGTTTCTAATTCTTCTCTCGGCCCAGGGTGCAAAGCTTGTTCTTGGACTCTGGGCTGGATTTTCAAGATGTCACCGGAAAGAGCTGGTCTAGCAATGAGGCACAAAGGAGGAGTCCGTTTTCAATCAAGGTGCTTGACCGCATCGGCCACTTGATACGCAATTCCACCAGGCCTGGCTGCAGAAGGTGGATTTCTCAGGCAATGATTGAGGACACAAACTCCATTCAACATATTCAACATATTCAACATATTCAACATATTCAACCCCCGTCACGAATTTATGTTCCCTCCATCTCCCTCCTGGTGGCATCGGCAGTAGCTGGTGCTAAGCCGGTGAGTAGCTCAAGCATGACCATGCCAAAGCTGTAGACCTGGGGGTTGCAAGAGCGGATGGCACAAAAGGCTAGCCCCAATGATCTAGGATCTTGCAATTCACATGGCGTCGAGTAATTGAGGAACAGCCAATCAAGAATGGAAAAGCAAACTTGGTCCTGACTTTGCACTACTCTTCGCACACTCTTCTCGACTGTCAAACAATAAAGTTCAATGCAATCTGAACTCTTCACACACTGGTTTAGTCCGGGATGCTTCTCCACCCTCTGTTACTCGGCCAGTACGTGAGTAGATAGGACAAGCATATCCTGGAGAACAAGCAGTCCAAACATCTTTGCCGCTGCTGAGGTGTCTTTCTTACTGAGGAAACATTTCAAGATCAGGGTCCTGGAGTGCCGCTGATGGTTCGAACTGTCACATGAAGCCTAGGGAAGCAAGTCCAAATATGTCCAAATGCACCAGTCCAACATTGAGTCATTTTGGCATTGGTCATATTGGTTCTGTTTTTGGCCATCATGCTCGAACACTTGGCGTCACTCGGCCAGAGCTTCTGATTTCCCACAAGTACAGGTAACTGGACAATGGAGTGCGGCTACGACCAATGCTTTAGCAGCCCATGCAATTCAAAAGTACATTTCAGTTTTTCGACATGACAATTGATCACTGATGATGATGATGATGATGGTGATGATGATGATGATGAAGATGAAGATGAAGATGATACCAATTCCAGTAGTATGGACGTGCCCATGAATCCCTTCTCGTGCTCACTCTGCGACTTGTGTTGAGGTTTTGACGAGTCTGATCTCGCCGATGTGCAGCTCAAGCCAAAGTCAGCCATCTTCGCTGTTCCATGACGATCCTGGCGGAGCACCGACTCTAATTGAAAATATGCAGCACATCTCTGTAGTTTCTTCAGCAAGTTATCTTGAAATGACTTGAAATGCGACACTGCATTCGCTCGGAGTATGAACTGGCGTCATGTACAATCAATCATTTGCCACAAAGAGAAGCGTGTTGAAAGCATATGGTGCATACCCTTGATTCGAATTTCAACGATGTTCAATGATGTTCCATTATTTTCACTGTGCATCACAATCAGCAGCTGTCCAGCAAGATGTTGGCGGATTTGATGTCCCGGTGGAAGGCTTTTGGCTTTGAATTGTGCATGTGGGAGAGGCCTGACGGACTCGTGAGAGGTTTGGCAAGCGGGCATGTCAAGGAATTGCCATGTAATTCAACAAAGACCCTAATTAATTATATAGATGTGCTGTAATCATCTGTATCCCGAACATTTCCAACATTTCCATACTGCTTAGATTGCTCAGCTGCTGGCCTGCTGAAGCATCTAGACAAACACTCAGCCGTTCGAACCTCTCATAAAGCTCCACACAAAAGCTCATGGCCAGCACTGATCGAGACTGGTTAAGCTGAGGCGTCCGCCAATGGAAAGGACATTGAGCTGATGGCTTTTTACCTTACGGCATGGCCGCACTAGTCCCTTTCAACATGTGCAAGGGAGATACATATTGTATACACATATGTCACATATGAATAATATGGATACATATGGATACATTCTACCGCCACCTTGGTAGTGAAACTACCAGTGCAGCTGCGAAACTTTTTTGCAGTCGCTGGAAGCAGTCGCCACCAGAGAGCAACTCGTAGACCAGGTATCGATTGAAGTCATGTTTCGCCCAACCCAACAGAGTCACCTAGGATCTTAGGACGGTAACAGGTGGTAACAGTAACGGAATGTAGTACTAAAATATAGCAAACTCAAAGAACTGCCTGGGAGTTGCGAAGAATCGACCAAATATGGCCCAATTATCCAAATTTGGACCTGCTGAGTCCGAGACCAAATTTGGATGGCGGAATTTGCTAAGCATCTGGACCTGGCAAACGCAAATATGCAAATGCAGGCCATGGCCCAGATTCCCACAAAAGGCAACAAGTTATCGCAAGCCATGACAAGCCACATCAAGCCGCATCAAGATACTATCACCTGGCCTCCTCTTCAAATCCCGAGGACTCTGCCCCAAGGGCCTTCAAATCGATTGCCTCAAGGAGAAGATAAGTTTAGTAGATAGGACGCATGGGATAGTGTTGGAACATGTTTGAAACATTTTGAACCTATACTGCGCTGTAATCTGTCTCTTTTGCGTGCAGTTTTTTCAAAAATATTCTTCAGCTATCGCTCGAAGTGGAAGCGCACGGACCTTGATTGCCACCTCTGACCCATCTTCCAGCTCACCCTGCGGAGCATCCATGAAATGAAACTCTAACCGGTCTAAAACAGCATCTTGAAAAGCGTTCAAATGACAAACAGACTCACAGCATCACAGCAATTACTATTCAATTACTATTCATGCCTTGAACACTGAGCCATAGGAGCCAGATCCCAATCGCTCTGAGTCACTCCAATTCTTCCTGAAAGCAGAAATGCTCACGATTCGAAAAACATATCAACTTGCCACTTGCCACGTATCCCATCCAGCCAAGCATCGTTGCGACTGATAGTTCCTCGTAGCTGTATTGAAGGGAAATTTCCTTAAAACTGGCAATCTGTGCGTTTGCCTGCGCTTGTGGAACTGGACAATGTTGGGCAGAAAATAACATAGAGTTTCAGCGCCACCACGCGGGTCTCACAGGACATCCATAGCCGATTCATCTCGATTCATCCTAATCTGCGACAAGTGTCTCTTAATTGGGTACTGTGTCGAGGGTGGCGTTCGGGTGGGATCTGCTGCAAAGGCGGCTGCAAAGCTTGCTGCACTGGTTGTTGCACCGGTTGCTGCATGTAGACTCCTTACGGAATTTTGACAACTGGCGGGCTCTTGAAACGGATTTGGGCATGACTTGACTTTAAAATCCTCTGAGTGATTTTTCGTGTACCATATCAGCATCACGGTCTCAAGCAGCGAATCTAGGTTTCGAATTATAGGTGTTTTTCCAATTGATTGAAAAACATTTCTGTAAGAGTTTGTGATAGATCTGCGCGCAGTGTTTAGATTTGGGCCTCTCCTGGATACGGTCCAGCATGTGGAGGTGGTTGAGCAACGGGAAATGCATTTTGCCTTTGGGCATACCTGAAAGAGTTGGCAGCAGTACCATGCAAACAGCTTCAGTTTGATACCCCAAAAATCAGGTCTGGAAAACGCTGGAAAATTTTTGCAACGAAGTGGCAGGTGCACGATTCCGCCATGCTGCTGCCATTGTGGGTGCATTCTCCTTCCCACAACTCAGGAAGTTCAGATAAGCTCAGGAGCCAAGTTAGAGGGAAGATCACCAAAGTAAGATCACCAAAGACATGAAAAAACACGAAACAAAACTCACAATGCACCAAGGAGTTGATGGGCCTATGAAGTCCACCTGGGTTTCATCACCAACAGGCAAGTGAAAACCGGATGCGGGTGGCAAAAAAACTGGACGAAGACCGCTTAATTACGCAGGCTGCTCGAGCTGGAAATGCATCGCAGCAACTCTTTGTAAATGCCCCACGCATGTGCAGCATTTCCGGCGACACAGTTTCTCACCCAGCGTCAGTCTACAACAAAGATCGACCAAATTCACGCAACTTCCATGGTGTATTATCTATGATGCATCACGCAACCAACTGTCATCTACTACCGATGTGAAATCGAAGCAAGCTGGGCGCACGCATCTGTTTTTCACTAGGTGACACGTCTCAACCACTACTGGAGAGCCATCTGCTGGCTCAACCTGTGCCAGCCTTGTGAAGGGTCTTGAATAGTTTTATTGGATCTCTTTGTATTATGTCCTACTACGTGGGTTATCCCATAAATAAATGATATAAATTTCATCGTGTGTACGCACAAGGATACATGTCCATACACGTGTGCACGCGCGTCTGTGCAGATATAGGTAAGGATGGATGGATGGATGGATAGATAGATAGATAGATAGTTTGATAGATAGATGGATAGATAGATAGATAGATAGTTAGATAGATAGATAGATAGATTAGTTCGATAGATAGATAGATAGGTAGGTAGATAGATAGATAGATAGATGGGTCGATGGATAACAATGCAACAAATAGATAGGTAGATACAGAGGTAGATAAGAATAGATAAGGATAGATAATAACAGATAGATTGGAATAGATGGATAACAGAAGATAACTAGAAACAAATAAGAACAGACAACAATAAATGAGAAAAGATAGATGAGAATAGGTGGATAAGAACAAATAAGAATCGATTGGATTAGATGGGCATAGACAAGAATAAAGAATTTAGAAGGATAGTGTGGATCAGACTAAATTAAATCAGATTGAATAGGATCAAATTGGACCAGATTTGGTCAGATCGACTTGCATTAGAGAACACCAGAAAGGATTAGATAAGATTAGAGAAGATCAGATTAGCTCAGATCCAGACTAGATAAGATCAGAGCAGATAAGATTAAGACTAGATCAGATTAGATAAGACTAGATTGGATAAGATTAGATCAGATCAGACTGGATAAGATTAGACTTGACAAGATTTATATAAGTAGACAAGGTTTGACTAGCTTAGATTATAGATAGATAAACAGATAAACAGATAATCAGATAGACCAGACCAGATCAGACCAGACAAACAGAGAGACACATAGAACATAGGCACATAGGTATACAAAATACATTGGTACATACAGTAGACAAGCAAACAGGTAGATAGACAAATAATATTTACAAGTAGAACCCGCGCAAGGCGGGTGGCGGAAGTTTCCAAGTTTAAGAAGTGTAACGCTATAGGATCCAAAAACAAGGTTTGCCATAGGAGCTCGGGCAGACTTCCATGCTCTTTTCCGGTATGGAACAAACAGGCCATTGAAACATGCCAACATGGGCGTGTAACATGGGCGTGAGCAGAACAGCTGCACGCTCCCCGCTGAAATGCCTGACAGCCAAGACACGTTCATGCAGGTTTGGAACAAACATGCCACTTAAACATGCCAACCTAGGCGGTCTGCAGAGACCGAGTTGCAAAGCTTAATAGAATTACGCTCACAACGGCTACACAAATTGCAGCTCCAATACCATCTCAACGCCCAAGCGGAAAAACGACGATTTTGGTCCATTTTTGGAAAAGAATTTTGAAAGGAAACTCAACAACACCAAAATGAAGATTGCCAGAGCACCATTCGCAACGCTACTGGAGAACCAGTACCCTTCGGCGCGGCCATTCCACTGCGATCTTCACAGGCCGAATTGTACAACACATTAGAATTGCAACACGCTACTGTAGAACACATCGCTTTGATAGCACAGCAGCAACAAAGAAGAGAAAAAGCCACCTGGAACCTTCAGTTCAACTGCACGCGCAGTTCGAGCAAGATTCCACGCTAAAGCGACGACGCCCGCACCCGTCACGCACGCGAGCCAACTTTCCTCCGCAACGGAACCTCCGTTCACCCGGAAAAACACATAAGATGCACTGGGGGGGTTGGGGGTTCCAATTCTGTAGGGACAAATCTGGTTTTGGGATACAGAATATTACAGAATGAGGAACTTGCCGCAGATTTAGCAGGGTGTTTTCTCTACAAAATCAAGGCACCCAACACCTTTTTTTTTTGGTGCGCTTTTATGAATTTCAGAACCACTGGCCTCTACAAAGTGGGAAACCTGGCATGGGCAAACATTTAAGCAGAATGGCTACTTGGAACAAAGAAAACCCTCAAAAATACAAAGATCCATTTTGTAGAGGGGTGATGTGAAAGAACTTTGGTCTCCCCTGAAAACCATGAAATTCACAAAAAAAATTGTAGAGGCAATTCCTGTTCCACATTTCCAGTTTTTTGTAAAAACAATATAACTCGTACATATTTATGCACATGAATGTTGACAAACCCCAAAACCTCTACAGAATGAGGAACCTACAGTTTCAGCCATCTATATACAACATGCATCAAAATGGGCCCGCTACAAAACCACGAACCTGTCATTGCACATCCTTGCAGACACGTAAGCTGTCCAAAAAAATTGTTTTGACGGACCTCGACAGAATGAGGAACTTGCCACAAACCTAGCAAGGGGTTTTCTCTACAAAATCAAGGCACCCATCACCTTTTTTTTTTGGTGCGCTTTTATGATTTTCAGAACCGCTGGCTTTTACATAATGGGGAACCTGGCATGAGCAAACATGTAAGCAGAATGGCTACTTGGAACAAAGAAAACCCTCAAAAATACAAAGGTCCATTTTGTAAAGGGTGATGCGAAAAAATCTTGGTCTCCCCTGAAAACCATGAAATTTACAAAAAATGTAGAGGCAATTCCTGTTGCACATTTCCTTTTTTTTGTACAATCAATATGACTCGTATAAATTATCATATATAAATTTATGCACGTGAATGTTGACAAACCCCAAAAATCCCCAAAACCTCTACAGCATGAGGAACCTACAGTTTCAGCCATCTATATACAACATGCATCAAAATGGGCCCGCTACAAAACCACGAACCTGTCATTGCACATCCTTGCAGACACGTAAGCTGTCCAAAAAAATTGTTTTGACGGACCCCTAGGGGTCCTGATTTTGGAAAAAAATGTGGGGCATTAAAAAACATAATGTTTTGTGCAAATCCCACGGTAACTACATTTAAATATACTGACATTTAAATATACGAGCAGGTATTTTAGACTACCTCTGGGAAAGTTTTCCTTGGCCCGCCCGGCCATTTAAACATACGGAATCCAATTCATTTAGACAAACGGTAACCACATTTAAATATACGAACTGGTATTTCATGCTACCTCCGGGACCTCGCGGTCTGGCCCGCCCTCCACATATTTAAATGTCGTTACCGTAACATTCAAATGTATTCAAATCATATCCATGATGTAGCAATTCTAATGCGATCTGCCAACAGTGACTTGCAAACCACACGCAGAATCACAAGACTCTAATGCCAACCCCGGATTAGTAAACCATCGTTTATTAATTAGCGGGGTACTCCTCCAATAGTCATAATCTGATACTTCAATGGTACCCTCCCAATTAAACAGCCTACCAGGGGTTCATGAATCCAAGGTTGACGTTACTGAAGAACAAATACGATTTGAGCAGCCTTGGCGAAGCCATTCCACTGCGAACTGCACAGACTGAATTGTATAACCATTAGAATTGCAACACGCTACTGTAGAACACATCGCTTTGACGCACCAGTTCCAGTGCACAAGGTGTCTCGTCACATGCCAAACACAATAGCACAGCAGCAACAAAGAAGAGAAAAAGCCACCTGGAACCTTCAGTTCCACTGCGCGCGCCGTTCGAGCAAGATTCCACGCTAAAGAGACGACGCCCGCACCCGTTGCGCACGTGAGCCAACTTTTCTCCGCAACGGAACCTCCGTTCACCCGGAAAAAACATATAAAAACATATAAAACACAATGTTTCGTGCAAATCCTAACGTTCAAATCGCATCCATGATGTAGCAGTTCCATTGCGATCTGACAACAGTGACCTGCAAAACACAATCAGAATCGCAAGACACAACACCTCTACTCTGCTCTACTTCTACCTCTACGCTTCTCTTCTCTACTCTACCTCTAGTCTACCTCTAGTCTACCTCTAATCTACCTCGACTACCTCTCTACGGCACATGCCAACTGGAGACAAATGGACACAATGATCTCTGGGCTACTAGTAGTGAGAATGTGACTTCATGATCTCTTACCGCAAGTGCCCACCGGACACAATGATCTCTGGGCTAATGAGAATGTGACTTCATGATCAAGGCACATGCCAACTGGACACAATGAACTTTGGGCTAGTGAGAATGTGACTTCATGATCTCTTAAGGCACGTGCCAACTGAACACAATGATCTCTGGGCTGATCAGAATGTGACTTCATGATCTCTTTTGGGCTAGTGAGAATGTGACTTCATGATCTCTTGAGGCACATGCCAACTGGACACAATGACCGTTGGTTAATTAGTGAGAATGTTCACTTTCCGTAACTCGGAGTTTCTCTACGAAACTTCCTTTGACTAGATAGTAGATGTAATGCACGCGGACTGTGCCCCAGTTGTGTTTGAGCTGCTCATAGATGGAGATAGATCGACGTGAGATAGAACACCCAACTATTGCGACTATTGCCCACGGTCACCCTTCAACGACCTCAGCATGAGCGCAGCATGACTTCCAATGTAACCCTGGATCCTTCACTCATCTTCTGCTCAACTTCGGAGCGGATCTTGTGAAACTGCGGAGCCTGGAGTGAAACCTTTGGCCACTGCCACTTCCAAATCAACTGCCAGCTGAACTACCGAACCACCACGTTTTACCACACGCATCCACATGCTACATCATGCTCCATTGCTGATATGTTTTTGAGAGCTTCTATGTCTGCTGTGTCTGTTCTTCCACCTCACACTCTGGCTGCCCTGGCTCTTCTTGATCCTCCTCCACTTCACCATTCCGGATGCTAATGGATTTGCGAATCACTTCCTGCAACTCTTCCAGCACTGCTTGCATGTCTCTGGCTTCATTGACGTCCGGAGGCACCAGCTCTTCCGAGTTCTCCAAGGCTTCCAGCAAAGCATCACTCGCTTGATTCGGATCGAGCTTGATAAGACTGGTGGCTCTCTGAGCAACTCGAATCATGATGCCCACATCCGCAATCTTATCCTCACCTTTGCTGCCGAGCTTCAATCTACCAGTCAGCATCTGGATTAACAGCCCAGCATCTTGCTCTCTCTGGACTGAAAACTGGATGGCGGCTTTGCACGCTTCTTGCAACCTCACACAGGGAACCACGCTTCCTACTTGCGGATTCATACTCGGGATTGCAGATTCGAAACCTTGATTTGAACGTATTTCAGGGTGAGTGAGAAGTGGAGACACACACACATATATATATATTATATTATATATACAATGTATATGTGTGTGTGTTATACACATTACATGTATATGTAATGTATGTAATGTATGTAATGTATGTAATGTATGTAATGTATGTAATGTATGTAATGTATGTAATGTATGTAATGTATGTAATGTATGTAATGTATGTAATGTATGTAATGTATGTAATGTTATGTTATGTTATGCTATGTAATGCAATGTTGTGCAATGTTGTGTAATGTTGTGAAGTGATGTGTAATGTTGTGTTGTGTTTTGTAATGTAATGTAATGTAATGCAATGTAATGTAACTAATGTAATGTAATGTAATGTCTTGTAATGTAATGCATGCATGCATGCATGCGCGTATGTGCGTATGTGCGTATGTGCAAATGTGTATGTATATATATATACATATATATATATATGTGATACTGTATATTGTTATTATTAAGTTATATTTTTTTGGATTTATGATGATTGTTATAAATATATATATATAATAGATTATAATAGCACGTACTATGGAGAGAACATGACAAACAGAATGCAGGAAGAGTCTCGGATATGCTCGACAAAATAAGCTGCGGAGAGCGAATGAGGTGCAGGTTTGCATTCAACTCTGAACTCTCAAATGCCCTGAGTTCTAGACCTTGCTTCTGCCAGCACACTAGTCCCATAGCGCAGAAGAGGTGCTAACTCACTTCCTGAGGTGGTTGCTGCCTGTTGACTGTGCCATGGTTAAACTCATATACCGTATAAAAATGTCTTTGAATGCGTTGGCTTGTTAAAGCCTGCGTAATCAATGACCACAATGCCACTGCAATGGCTACTAAGGCTTTGGCCGTCCAATGCAGCTCCAGCATCACCTGAAATCGGGGCTCAGGCTGAGAGGCACAATTCTGGCTGAAACGATAAAGGTGTGGCTCTGGACGGAACTGTGCACCCGTGTGCGCCACTCGCAGCCGAGATTCTGAGGAGCCGAAGGGTGCAGGCAGCTGAGAGTCCAGCCGCTTTCGCAGTTGCAACAGCCATCGGCCTGGTTGCTTTCGGCAACCAATCAGTCATCAAAGGGATCAAACTCTCGTTCTTCCGCATGGCACCGTGAATGAGCTCATCCTCATCCCCTGCCATCCGATTCACTGCAATGAGCAGCGGAAGAGCTGCCGCTGAGGAATCTGCGTCCGCCGCCAATTCCAGAGCATTCAATAAAGCTAAAGCTAAACTTTGAGGAACGGTACTGTTTCCATTCTCTACCGGGACACAGCCATTGGCTATGGCTTCTAGGGCACAGGCGCCAGCTACTGTGCGCAACAGCTCGTCGTTGCTTCGCAGTTCAACCAAAATGATGGGCCACAAACTGTCCAAAGGAAGAGAGTCTTTTTGTGGATGTCTCTTGGCTGCATATGATATGAGCCGCGCCAGCAAACGCAGCGCACAACATCGAACGCCAGCTTCCAAATGTGTTGCAAACTGCAAGGCGAGCTCTACACCGTCAAGTTCCAAGACATGATTGGATGTATCTATGCCATGCCTGCATATAGAAGCCAATGTACACAAACAAGCACGATGCAAGGGAAAGGCGAGAGCATCATCCAGTGCATTTGCTTGACCTTTGAAGCGCTTCGTTGTGAGCCACTCTACAATCGAAGTGTGCCCACCAAATTCGATGATTTCCCTGGCGTGGGTGTGCGAAAACCAAGCGAAATGGCCCAACAACAGGATCAGCAGCTCTCCATCTTGTGCGCTGTATTTCTTTGGCCCCACACCTCCGGTGCCAGGTGCCACATGGTGCCGTGACATGAAGATCATGAAGCACTGGCTTGCAAAGCCCAAACCCACAAAAAAAAACGCGCGTGCATAATATGTGTATATATTATTATATAATTATATGCGCACAACTGTGTGTGTGTGCATAATGTTTTTATATCAAAAAATCACACATAAACGATATATGGATCACAAAGTTCCACTGGTAATTGCTCAAACAGGCAGCGTGGTGCCTACCTCTTTCTCAGACCTCCCCCTCCATCTTTCCACTTCCAGTTGTTGCTCTTTCATATCTTTTCTTTCATGACAATAACAAATAACAGTTCCAGTTCCAACCTCTTTCCATCTCGGGATGTGCCAATATGTCTAGCTTGCATACCAACTACAGGTCCCTTAACCCTGCTGTACTGTACATGTATTGATGGACTTTGTGCAACCCCGCCTTCTTTCAAGACTTCACACAAGCGACGAACCTGATCTCTTTTGGGCCCTGGTTGCCGCAGGACTTCAACATCGCAGCCCAACTGAGACAGGGCATTGATGTCCTTCTGACGAATGTTGTGGCTTGAGCTGCCACGTGGCATTGCCACCTGAGCTTTTCCAATGGACATCCACAGGTGGTCAGCAGCATCGATGTCATCTCGTAGGCCCTTCTTCTTACGAAATCCTGCGTCCAAATGCAGCAGGTCTTCTTCCTGCTGCCCAAGGCTGTTCGTTGGTGGATTGAACTCGACAACCAGATTCTCAATGCCTTGGAAATTGGAAATGCAAAGCGACCAACAAAATGTACACCGAAAGCTGGTACAAGTTCGGCTAAGTCTAGTGTGTGCAGCACTCGTCTCCTCAGGTGTCTTTAAAATCAATTACAATCAATTCATAGTCATGAGTCATGAGGTATCATGTATCATGAGGTATCGGCCACGGGGTTTGTTGACTGTTGTATTTATTATATTATTTATTTGTAGGGTGATGCCAAATGCCGGGTGCAACTGGAATGGCACAAGCGGCGCATAATTCAAGGCACCTCTTGCTGCCCATCCGGTTGCCTTGAGCTCCTCCACATCGAGACGCACCTGGCAAGGACAGCAAAGCCGCACTGCCTAGTCCTTCAATAATTGTGCAGAAAACGAAAGGCTTTGCGGACACCAAATATATTGATATTGATATATATTGTACATTATTATATAATATTATATAATACTGTATATGACAAGGGAAAGTATGGAAAGTCTAGCGATAGCATTGATTATTTCAATGTTTTGCTCTCATGATGCCTGATGATCCTGATGTTTCTTGTCTTTCGTGAGATTCCACATGATGTGATCTTTGCGTCCTGCCTGCATGGTGCCTTGATCCGGGCCAGTTGTCCACGTGGCTGGAGGCAACAGGCAAGCAATATCTCCGCACAGGCGAGTAATTTTTGCCACCGCCCTGGGACAGTGCTTTTCCAACGCCCGGGTTCCTTCCTGAAGAATTTGAGCTGTGTCAGGATGAGCTGCCATAGCTGATAAGATCGCACCTGCACCTGCCAACACCAACAAGGCGAAATGCAAAAGTCAAAATTGACCCAAGGGTTTCCATTTCAATCACATTCACATGACCAAGCGAGTTTGAAGTCTAATCCCCTATGGCTAGATCATGTCCGAAAGTCAGCTCTCTTCTTTAGAGATCTATACCAAAATGCAAGAATGGCCTATCTACATCTATCATCATCTATCTACCCAGTACAACGAGTATCAACAAATCTCATCTGCATTCTGGTGCCATCTGCATCAAATCAGACTTCATACTGCACCTCCTCCAGCACGGCAGGACTGCAAAGCCAACTCGTCTTTGGCTAAAGTGAAGAGAGCTCGGACGGCAGTCATCTGCAGGTTTCTATCCGATCTGTGCCGTGCCATGGCATCAACAATGGTTTGGATGCCACGCGGTTCCAGTGACAAAAATGATGACCCCAAACGCGAAATTATCAGAATCGTCTGGCAAAGCAGATCAGCCTGAGAAGATTCCAACGAAACGATGTTGAATTGGAATGAATTGGAAACGTAAGAATGAAGACACATCATACATCACCATCCTTTTGCCACATAAAATGGGGCAACGCATAGCAAAAACCTTACTGTGTCATTTCACCAAGTAGCTCGGCCGGCATGCTTGCGAATACCTGTTTCTAGAAGTTTGAAGACCTCTGTGGCGTAGCCATTGTTATACAGCACCTCACCGATTGAGGCTAAGAGCATGCACCCTTCCAGCTGTATATCTGCATTTTCCTGGAACAGCTTCATGGATGTCAAAACTCTCGACAAGCCATGGAAAGTCCACACCTTGGTTTTAAGCGTTGGGCTCGGATGGTCTGGTTAAGGAGCGTGAATAATCATGAGTAACCACCAAAGATTAAGCACAACAGAATACCTAACGTTGGTTCTCCCATCATTTTACCAAAAAATGTAGATATAAAGAATTACTTGTCAAAGGAAGTTTAGGGGGAGAAACTTCCGTGTTACGGACTTTTAGAATGTCAGGGAAAGAGTTAGTCAAAGAAAGAGTTAGCAAAGAAAGAGTTCGTCAGGGAAAGAGTTAGTCAAAGAAAGAGTTAGTCAGGGAAAGAGTTAAAAGAAAGAGTTAGTCAAAGAAAGAGTTGGCAAAGAAACAGTTAGTCAGGGAAAGAGTTAGTCAAAGAAAGAGTTAGTGAGGGAAAGAGTTAGTCACAGAAAGAGTTAGCAAAGAAAGAGTTCGTCAGGGAAAGAGTTAGTCAAAGAAAGAGTTAGTCAAAGAAACAGTTAGTCAAAGAAAGAGTTAGTCAAAGAAAGAGTTAGTCAAAGAAAGAGTTAGTCAAAGAAACAGTTAGTCAAAGAAAGAGTTAGTCAAAGAAAGAGTTCGTCAAAGAAACAGTTAGTCAAAGAAAGAGTTAGTCAGGGAAAGAGTTAGTCAAAGAAAGAGTTAGTCAAAGAAACAGTTAGTCAGGGAAAGAGTTAGTCAAAGAAAGAGTTAGTGAGGGAAAGAGTTAGTCAAAGAAAGAGTTAGCAAAGAAACTGTTAGTCAGGGAAAGTGTTAGTCAAAGAAAGATTTAGTGAGGGAAAGAGTTAGTCACAGAAAGAGTTAGCAAAGAAAGAGTTCGTCAGGGAAAGAGTTAGTCAAAGAAAGAGTTAGTCAAAGAAACAGTTAGTCAGGGAAAGAGTTAGTCAAAGAAAGAGTTAGTGAGGGAAAGAGTTAGTCACAGAAAGAGTTAGCAAAGAAACAAGTTAGTCAAAGAAAGAGTTAGTGAGGGAAAGAGTTAGTCACAGAAAGAGTTAGCAAAGAAATTGTTCCCTCACTGTAAATGGGATTGCAAGTGGTGCTGGTGGAGGAGTTGCCGATGGAGTTTTGAAGGAAGTCTCGCACGAAATGCGTTTTTGAGAGATAGCAGATGCACGAAAGCCTATGTTTTCCCATACAAAGTCCGTCCCCGAACCTCGATGATCTACCTCTGCGGTGCGACGGTTGCGAGACGGTCTCGTGTGTGGTCGGATCATGCTCGGATCATTCTCGGATCATGGTCGGATCGGTTCCGCATTGTAAATGGGGTTTCAAGTGTTTTTCGTGCATGTGCGGTCGACAGAATTCCATTGTGATTTGCAACTGTAGGATCGTTCCCGCAATGTAAATGGGATTGCAAGTGGTGCTGGTGGAGGAGTTGCCGGTGGAGTTTTGAAGGAAGTCTCGCACGAAATGCGTTTTTGAGAGATAGCAGATGCACGAAAGCCTATGTTTTTCCATACAAAGTCCGTCCCCGAACCTCGATGATCTACCTCTGCGGTGCGACGGGTGCGAGAAGGTCTCGTGTGTGGTCGGATCATGGTCGGATCATGGTCGGATCGGTCTCGGATCATGGTCGGATCGGTTCCGCATTGTAAATGGGGTTTCAAGTGTTTTTCGTGCATGCGCGGTCGACAGAATTCCATTGTGGTTTGCAACTGTAGGATCGTTCCCGCAATGTAAATGGGATTGCAAGTGGTGCTGGTGGAGGAGTTGCCGATGGAGTTTTGGAGGAAGTCTCGCACGAAATGCGTTTTGGAGAGATAGCAGATGCACGAAAGCCTATGTTTTTCCATACAAAGTCCGTCCCCGAACCTCGATGATCTACCTCTGCGGTGCGACGGGTGCGAGACGGTCTCGTGTGTGGTCGGATCATGGTCGGATCGGTCTCGGATCATGCTCGGACCATGGTCGGATCGGTTCCGCATTGTAAATGGGGTTTCAAGTGTTTTTCGTGCATGTGCGGTCGACAGAATTCCATTGTGATTTGCAACTGTAGGATCGTTCCCGCAATGTAAATGGGATTGCAAGTGTTGCTGGTGGATGAGTTGCCGATGGAATTCCATTGTGCTTTGCAACTGTAGGATCGTTTCCGCAGTGTAAATGGCTGCGTCAAGGTTGCTTCGTGCTGTGGCTGCATTGGTAATACTATTGTCTTTTGCAGCTGGATCTCGTAAATCGTACTGGAGTGGCTGCATGAAGGCTGCCACAGTGATTTGTCAGCAGATTTTCTCCATTTTGGCGCTAATGATTTTCCTTCTAAAAATCCTTTTAAAAAGTGTTTCAAAATCGTCTTTTTTTCGCTCTGGCGTCGAGATCCGGTTTTGGAGCTACAATTTCCGACGCCGTTGCGCGTAGTTCTATTGTGTTTTGCAACTCAGTCTCTGCAGATCACATTGTAATGGCTGCGTCAAGGTTGCTTCGTGCTGTGGCTGCATTCGTAAAACTATTGTCTTTTGCAGCTGGATCTCGTAAATCGTATTGGAGTGGCTGCATGAAGGCTGCGACAGTGATTTGTCAGCAGATTTTCTACATTTGGCGCTAATGATTTTCCTTCTAAAAATCCTTTTAAAAAGTGCTTCAAAATCGTCTTTTTTTCCCTCTGGCGTCGAGATCCGGTTTTGGAGCTACAATTTCCGACGCCGTTGCGCGTAGTTCTATTGTGTTTTGCAACTCAGTCTCTGCAGATCGCATTGTAATGGCTGTGTCAAGATTGCTTCGTGCTGTGGCTGCATTGGTAATACTTTTGTCTTTTGCAGCTGGATCTCGTAAATCGTATTGGAGTGGCTGCATGAAGGCTGCGACATGGATTTGTTAGCAGATTTTCTCCATTTTGGCGCTAGTGATTTTCCTTCTAAAAATCCTTTTAAAAAGTGCTTCAAAATCGTCTTTTTTTTTTCGCTCTGGCGTCGAGATCCGGTTTTGGAGCTACAATTTCCGACGCCGTTGCGCGTAGTTCTATTGTGTTTTGCAACTCAGTCTCTGCAGATCGCATTGTAATGGCTGCGTCAAGGTTGCTTCGTGCTGTGGCTGCATTCGTACTACTATTGTCTTTTGCAGCTGGATCTCGGAAATCGTTCCCTATGCACAAACCTCCAGGGCACCTATTAGTGGTGCCAGGTTACAGATCCCAGGGGCCAGGAAAGCAGCCGACTTAGAGGGCAAGCATATATGACATATTGGAGTGGCTGCATGAAGGCTGCCACAGTGATTTGTCAGCAGATTTTCTCCATTTTGGCACTAGTGTTTTTTTGTTGCACGTAGGTTTAGAGCAGTGTGAAGTGTGGGGCGTGAAGAGTGCAGTGTGAAGTGTGAAGTGTGCAGGAAGCAGTGGGAAGTGAGAAGTGTGGAGTGTGAAGTGTGAAGTGTGGAGTGTGAAGTTTCAGTTTGGAGTGCGAAGAGCGCAGTGTGAAGTGTGAAGTGTGAGGTTTGGAGTGTGAAGGAAGCAGTGAGAAGTGAGAAGTGTGAAGTGTGGACTGTGAAGTGTGAAGTGTGAAGTGTGAAGTGTGGAGTGTGAAGTTTGAAGTTTGAAGTTTGGAGTGCGAAGAGTGCAGTGTGAAGTGTGGAGTGTGGAGTGTGAAGACTTTGCTTCGTCTCTCGCTGAAAAAAAACCGCTTGTCGAGGGAAGGACACGGTCGGGACAGGTTTTTCTTCGAACTATAGGTCATTTATTTTTGGGAAACTTCCGCCGCCGGCTTGCCCGGGTCTATGTTATGTGCCAGACGCTTCTAGGGTCACTTACAAAATCGTCAAAAGAGGTCACATCCCTCTGAAGTGGTACCGGGGAACTAGGTCACTTAGACAAGGTATGACAAGACAAAGGTCACTTAAGCCTGTGGATAATCACGTATCATATCGCGCCATCAACTTGGATAAAAATTTGCCATGGTCCCTCTTAGGAGATGTACTACCGCTTGAGTATTGTAAAAGAATGCACAGTAATGCACAGTATAAGAATTTGAGGGGCTCGAATCCAAGGCGGGCTACATAATTTCAGCTATACCAAGAACATTAAAGGACCGGATAACCCCACATGTTACCAACTTCTTTAGACTTAGACTGACCATAGAAGAGCAAGAAGGGAAGAGGAAGTATAAGAGTGATGGAGCGGTGATGGTGGGTGAGTTTGTGTGTATGTATGTATGTTCATGTACAGTGAGTGAGTGAGAGTGTGAGTGAGTGATGCGAGTGTGGTGTGTGTGAGTGAGGGATGTGAGAGTGAGTGAAGTGAGTGAAGTGAGTGAAGTGAAGTGAAGTGAAGTGAAGTGAAGTGAAGTGAAGTGAAGTGAAGTGAAGTGAAGTGAAGTGAAGTGAGTGAGTGAGTGAGTGCGGTAGGTGAGGTAGGTGAGGTAGGTGGTGAGGTAGGTGAGGTAGGTGAGGTAGGTGAGGTAGGTGAGGTAGGTGAGGTAGGTGAGGTAGGTGAGGTAGGTGAGGTAGGTGAGGTAGGTGAGGTAGGTGAGGTAGGTGAGTGAGTGAGTGAGTGAATGTGAGTGAATGTGAGTGAGTGTGAGTGAGTGTGAGTGAGTGTGAGTGAATGTGAGTGAGTGTGAGTGAGTGTGAGTGAGTGTGAGTGAGTGTGAAGCCTCCCATTAACGTCCCCACCACCGGCCAACGTGGTGTCGGCTCGACCGAAGCCGAACCGTTTGGTAAGGACGAAGGCATCGACCTCAGTGCAGAAACAGACTTAGACGGAGCACAGAAAGCGAGAAGGGAAGAGGAAGGATAAGAGTGATGGAGGGACGATGGTGGTATGTATGTAGGTAGGTAGGTAGGTAGGTATGTATGTATTTAGGTATCTATGTATGTATGTACGTAGGGTAAGTTGTTTGTGAGTAAGTTGCTTCGCTTTCATCGAGTTCCACCAGGCTCTGATGGTTTTTTCCCGACACACTATCAAAACGATGGTGTGCTCACCATACTTCCGCTGACCAAAGTAATGTTCTGCACTCTTTCGAGCGCAGCCGCACATTTTGTGAACTCTTTCTGCATCCCCTGTGGCTGGTAAACATCGCTGGCACATAGTCAAAATCAACTGCTAATCTTCCGGCGTTAATAGGAGAGCCATCCTGTGGGGTGCACCTTGTCCCACGCCTGCCACGCAAAGGCAGCGGAGCCCGAAACCCGAGTTGACATGTCCACTTCAGAGCTAACATGCCATCACCAATAACATATCATAAATAACCCTTCATCAACTTCTCTAGATTTAGACTGGGCATAGAAAAGGAAGAAGGGAAGAGGAAGTATAAGAGTGATGGAGCGGTGATGGTGGGTGAGTTTGTGTGTGTGTGTGCGTGTATGTATGTTCAAGTACAGTGAGTGAATGAGTGAGTGAGTGTGAGTGTGAGTGTGAGTGTGAGAGTGAAAGTGAGAGTGAGAGTGAGAGTGAGAGTGAGAGTGAGAGTGAGAGTGAGAGTGAGTGAGTCAGTGAGCGAGTGAGTGTGAATGAGTGGGTGAGTGAGTGAGTCAGTGAGTGAGTGAATGAGTGAGTGAGTGAGTCAGTGAGAGAGTGAGTGAGTGAGTCAGTGAGTGAGTGAGTGAGTGAGGGCGTACATCCAACCCCTTGGCCGCGCACATTGTCCCACGCTTGCCACACAAAAGAGGCCGAGGGACGCCAGCGGAACCCCGGCGCGTACTCCAACCCCTTGTTGTCCCACGCCTGCCACGCAAAAGAGGCGGAGACCCAGGGACGCCAGCGGAACCCCGGGGCGTACATCCGACCCCTTGGCAGTGCACATTGTCCCAAGCCTGCCACGCAAAAGAGGCGGAGACCCAGGGACGCCACGGAACGTACATCCGACCCCTTGACAGTGCACATTGTCCCACGCCTGCCACGCAAAAGAGGCGGAGACCCAGGGACGCCAGCGGAACCCCGGGACCCCTTGGCAGTGCACATTGTTCCACGCTTGCCACGCAAAAGAGGCGGAGACCCAGGGACGCCAGCGGAACCCCAGGGCGTACATCCGACCCCTTGACAGTGCACATTGTCCCACGCCTGCCACGCAAAAGAGGCGGAGACCCAGGGACGCCAGCGGAACCCCGGGGCGTACATCCGACCCCTTGGCAGTGCACATTGTCCCACGCCTGCCACGCAAAAGAGGCGGAGACCCAGGGACGCCGGCGGAACCCCGGGGCGTACATCCGACCCCTTGGCAGTGCACATTGTCCCACGCCTGCCACGCAAAAGCGGCGGAGACCCAGGGACGCCAGCAGTGTGTGTGTGTGTGTGAGTGGGTGAGTGTGAGTGAGTGAGTGAGAGTGAGTGAGTGTGAGTGAGTGAGTGAGTGAGTGAGTGAGTGAGTGAGAGTGAGTGAGTGTGTGTGTGAGTGAGTGAGGGAGTGAGTGAGTGAGTGAGTGAGTGAGTGAGAGTGAGTGAGTGTGTGTGTGTGTGTGTGAGTGAGTGAGTGTGAGTGAGTGAGAGTGAGTGAGTGAGTGAGTGAGTGTGTGTGAGTGAGGAGGGTGTGTGTGTGTGTGTGAGTGAGTGAGTGTGAGTGAGTGAGTGAGAGTGAGTGAGTGTGTGTGTGTGTGTGTGAGGAGGGAGGACGGGAAGGAGGAGGACGAGGAGCGGATACAGAACTAAAAACAAAAACCCCACACGTCAATGTGGGGAATAATACTTTAAGAATTTGAGGGACCCTGGAATAAGATTGCTACATTCTTAAGTTGCTGCTTAGACGTGAGGTTTGCAATTCCCCTTTGCGGTTCATGCCTTTTGTGGAGTGAATCGGGTTTTGCAGAAAAACAAATTTCAAGCCAAGCTCCGATTTTTTTTCGCGCGTGCTTGGACTGCTTCCAATCTACTCAAAATTTTCTATATGCGGATAGACTTGGGAACCTGAAACATTGTTTTCCCCAATAACTTGCAGAAAACTTAGGCTTTGCAGAAAAACAATTTTTCAAGCTACCATTTTTGCCGCTCATGCTTGGACTGCTTCCAATCTGGATAGAATTGGGAACCTGAAACATATTGGCAGACCGGCAGACCCTTTTAGATGCCAAAAGCAAACGCCGCCTGGGATCCGAACCTCAGAGCTGCAAACGTGAAGTCCGACACCCTGACCATTGTGCTACAGGACCCTGGCCTTCCGATAATTTAGGCTTCTCGTTCTCTCTCTCTTTGCCCTGGCTGCAAAGGGCTGGGGTTTAGCCTGGGTTGCGGCTGCGAAAAATATTTTTTCATGATTTCAGGCTCTAAAAAAATGTTTTTTCGGCACTGCTCTTGTGAAACTCAGACAAGTCCGGCTTTGCAAAAAAGCAATTTTTCAGGCTCTAATTTTTTTTTTCGCATGTCTCTTGTCAAATCTGCCAACTCCACCTCGTTACCTCGCTTTAGCTCGCTCCAAATTGCGCAGGTGCATACAAAACATAACTAAGAATGCTCTAAGAATTTGAGGGGCCCTCGGCCTATCGTGGTGGAAATTTGCCTGCATTAAAAAATATGAATTTGAGGGACCCTGGGCCTCAAGCTTTCAGATTCTTAACCATCTCTCGGGCTGTAATCTACCAACTATGGATTTTTCCACCTATGACCAGGGAGCCATAGTGAGCCACATTTTACCAAAATGATAGAAAAGTGACACGCAAGTGACACGCAAGTGATACGCAAACCCATCATAGCCTGAGTGACCTTTAGGGGCCCTTAAGTGACCTTTAGGGACCCTTAAGTGACCTCGTTCTAATTTGGTCACTTGTGCAACTGACACGCCAGTGACACGCAGGTGACACGCACTTTTTGAACCCGGTTGGAAAAAAATCAGAGCATGTTCTATTATCTTCTATCCATATCACTCCTTGTCATGAATGTAGTTCACCGTTTGATCCCCTGCGGTGCTGTGGATCACTGAGCGGACTGCATTGGAACCCCAGAAACTGGAGGGAAAGTCAAAAGGGTCACTTCGCAAAAGGGTCACTTAAGACAATAAATCTATATAAATCTTACCTTTAAGACCGTAAGCGGCCTCTTTTCTATGTTACCCTAAAGTGGCTGCAAAACAAGGGCCCTTTATAAATAAATATGTTTTTGAAAAAAATAAAAATAAATAGATAGATAGATTTAAAAATAAAAATAAATTAAGTAAACAAATTAAGAAATAATAAATAAAAAAGTAAACACATAAATAAATAAATAAACAAATTAAACAAACAAAGAAACAAATAAATCAATGAAGATAAATAGAAATATATAATATATTATTAATGATGATAATCAATGTGCAATTCGATTTCTGCGCTTTATGTCATGTCCTATATCATTCTACCTGGCGCGGACGCTTCTGGGTGCTGCACCTCATCCAACTGCTTCCCCAGAGTCACCACACGTGAGCCCATGATGGTATTCTCCCTCGCTCGAATGTAAACCCGCCGAAGAATCTGACAAGCCAACTGCTGAACTTCTTGATCAGAAGGGAAATTGTCCAGAGACCTCGGGTTAACACTCATCCTCATGTGAGAACAGCAACTGTTTCAGCTCCAGAATTGCTGAGATCTGCAGCATCCCTATCACTGCGCACCATAACTATTCAAAGCCCCAAACATCCCCAAACTATTCTGCAAAGCCGAGCTACAGCATCAGGTCAGGAGCAAGCGAGTGTTGCAGTATAGCATCCACTGAGAGAATATCGTGGACTGTGAGATTGCGGATCAACCGAAGACCACGGAAAACAACCTGACAAAGGCCAATACATGCCAGAACATGACCCTAACTGCCAATCTCAAACATGTCCAAACATGGGACCAGAATTTGAAAAACGTTGTCAAACACTTCTTTCAAACCATGCAGCTCAAAGAAATGCCGTGTTGTTTTTTAGAAGCAAACCGCATGTAAGTCAACCATTGAACATTACTACTTATTCGCCTGTCTACCAAATGTTTCAGAACATCCATCTTCCCACACCAACCATCAAGCAACCAGTCCACACTTGAATTTATAATGTCAAGTTCAAGTACATGCGGTCAGTGATGGTGATACTCCCAGTGGGGAAGACCCAGACCCTGAAGACGCTAGAAGACCAGCTTAGCCTGCCCTTGGCAGTGAAAGACTGCTGGACAAGCTCGTGAGCCAAGACACCTCCCGGCTGGATGTAAAGTGCCGCATGACCACCAAAGTGCGGTCAACTGCGTGATGAAGGCAAAGCCTTTGACAGTACTCGGTGTCATTCTCCGTTTTTTCAATCATCGCCTCACAGGGTCCCACCGTCAAAACTTGACAAGGGCCAATTGCCAGAGCTAAAATGAGCCAAGATTGGGGATTGTCGGGGGCCATGTCTAGTTGTCTGCGGTTTGTAGATGTTTGTAGTGGATTGTACCGGATCCTGCAGTTGCGAATGAAGCATGTTTTTAGATCTGTGTTGCATTTTTTGGACCTGGCCATCCCGGACCTCCAAACAAGCAACAAGAGTGTGCATCTGACCAAAGGTGCTGTCTGCCATATCCAGAATCTCTTTTGGAGTCAAGTTCACCAGCTGCGACTTCTGCACTGCAATGCTACCACCTGGCTGCGAATACAGAGACAGAATTTCGGTCCGCATCGTAGAGAGGTTCTCCAAAGTTTCCCCATCTACGTCAGAAGGAACGCTCTTGACCTCGGTGTCCGTTTTTTCCAACATACTCAGTGAAACGCTGACAACCTTAGTTGGTTATTGGAATGAATTGCGGCAAGAGCTCGGCAGCTAAACTACATTGAAACCAAAACTGTGATTGGGTACTGATATGGTTGTACTCCGCGACTCTGATGTCCTTGATGATAAAGTTCCCGTAAGGATCCGCAGTCACCCAGTGCCAAAGCGCAGCGCCCTTTTCCTTTGCTACAGTCGTTTGTTGCTCGAGCCAAGGCATCGGGATATGATACTGATGTTCTCGCGTGCCGGCCCACATGCATGACCTATATTGGGTAATGCCTGGCCTGCATTATATTCACACCCCCCCACGCCCATCGAAAAGTTTGAGGCTTGGGCGCAGGAGAGTAAATGCCAGGGCTTAGACTTCCCCATAGTAATGAAACGAAATTGGTACCATTCGCCTTCTTCAAAGAAACATATCTCCCATACTGGTGCTACCCGGCTCCCCATGCTCGTCGAAGGACTTGCGTGGTGCCGCGAATTATGTATCGATCTGCTGGCATGTCGAAGGACGTGCCTGCTTCGCAAATACATCGTGCACGAATTAGGATTTATGTATAGAAGGCTGGTACCACCAGAGGTTTTACTCCTGTTTTCTTTCAAAATTTGGAGCTTGAATGAGCTTGAATTAAAGCTCTCCGGCGCCTCTCTCAGGTGCTCCTCGGGATGATCTCCAGCATCTACTTTGCCTTTCGAGCTTTCTTCTTCTGAGTGCTGATTCGGAAGCATCCGGTACTTCTTGGCTGCCGGAAGCAATGGCGCGCATGTAATTTACATGGCGTTCTCGCTCCTCTTGATCAAGATGTGCAGTTTGAGCGGTCATCTGACGCTCACTCTTAATGGCCGCTTGCTGTTTCGCTTCATGTTGTTCCAAAAGTTGATCTGGCAGCAGTAGGTCTTGATTCGCCAGCGTCAACGATCCGGAATAGGTTCTGACCTTCTTGATCACTGCGTGTGATGTGTAGGTGATCCTCCAATGGTTAGTTGGCCCTGAAGCAGTCGCAGCTCCTCACACCAAATGTTCCAAGGATGAATTTTCTCACCATAGATGAGCTTCTCCTCATGTCGGGATTGTCGGCGACCATTGTGGTGAAGCTCGCAGGTTTCATGCCCGTCTCGACCAGATGTTTCATCAATCTGCACATGATTCGCGTGCCAATTGTTCCTCGCAAGTATGCTTCCTCATTTCTTCCTCCGACTTCTCCCTCACTGGACTTCTTCTTCTCAAACCAAGCTTTCATGTCTTCTTCTCTTCGAGGTTTCAGAAGGCCATGTTTGTCCGTCCCGAGGTGAGGATAGTAGCTATCGAATTCATGTATGGTACCTTGATTGATGACTCTCCTTGTACTCTGTCGCATCCATGTCGACCATGAAGTATAGAAGGACTTGTAGCGCGCCTTGAGGTGTGTCATGACGACCACGTCAATAACGCGTGCTGCCCCGTCCACTGCATCGACGTTGACCGCCTCAGTGGTGCATTCAATGATGGAGCCGGGAACGAGCCGGATTGCCCATATAGGAAGAGGGTTGGCTTTCCTTTCGGTCTCCTCCCTCTGTTTCTCTGCTCTCTCTTCATCCCTTCTTGCCTCCTCATCCTCCCGTTCCCTGGGCTCTCTCTCTCTCTTTATGTGAGTACTGACTCCTGATCCTGGCTCGGGTGGTGGAGTGCGTGGTCGATCATCTTTCTGACCGTTACCGGTGCCCATAGTGTCATTCGTACGATCTGGATACTTGTGCTCCTCATGGCGATCATGTTCAGCCTGTTGCCGTCTGCCAGTTGCTTGTGCTTTTCAAATGAGCTCATCGACCTCTTCCTTGTCCATGTCGACATCCTCATCCTGTTGCTGATCGTCATCATCTGGGATGTCATCGGATCTTACATCATTTCGCGGATGTTGTTGTTCATCTTCTGTCTGGATCCTCTCTCCGTAGCTCATGAGGGTTCCTTGGCAGTTCAAGCAGATCGATCATGTGGAGTCTCGAATAAATGTGCTGGACACATCACTCGAACTTCACCCCATTCCCAGGGACACATCCATAGAAATCTGCCCATCTTGACGCCTCGCAGGAGGGTTGCCCAGGTCCTGGAAGAACGCAGCTCCCAGTGTTGATTCTTGACCTGGTTCCCCAACAGGACTCCTCTTCCCTTGAACTTGCGTCCTGGACTTCCCTTCGGCCACTCATAATCTTCACAGCACAGATTCCATGAACACGACATGTGAACTTCAGTACCGTTTTTGTTTGCTTCTCGAAAAACGTCATCATACTCCCTCACCACCGTGAAGTCGTAGACACCCTGCTTGTGCTGCCCCAACCACTCGTTCCTCATGAAGGCTCTGGCCTCGGGATCTTCCATCATCTCCTTGCGGCCTACTGGCCTTGAGACCATCGCGTTGAACATCTTGCCGAACTTCATCGATCCACCCTCATTGAGCTTGTCTCGCTGGCCTTGATCAGAATGAACACAAGGCATGCACGGGATTGACTTTGCGATGTGGTCGATCTTTGGCTTTCCCAGGGGGTTGCCTGAGGTAATATAGTGGTCGCAGCCACACTTGCAGGAGTTACATGGAGTTACGATCTTCCCGATGTTGAAGTCGTAGAAGTGCTCTTCCCACCTAGCTTTGGGACCGTGACCATGTTCATGTTCTGGCCATTCGTCCCAATCATTGAGAAACTCTTCACCATCATCATCGCTAGGTGCTTCTGTGCTAGGTTAACTTGGAGCAGTGTAAACTCGATCGGCATGAAGGCCATTCTTGGACCATGTAAAAATTGTAAAAAGTGCTGACCAGCGGATCCCGAGATCACCGGAGGATGTTCTCGTTCACCGGGCTTCCCCTCTGCTCGGAACAATCCATGCGATCCAGGGATCACCGATGGGTTTTCCCCTTCACTTTCGGATGTGTCCTCGCAGACAGCAGCGTCCTTGCCTCCATCTTTGCCTCTCTCTCTCTCTCTCTCTCTTCATATTTGGCTTATTTGGTTCTTCTCAGCCTCTTTCTTCTTACGCTCTCCTTCGAGAGTCTTTGGTTCTTCTCTCAACTTTTCTCTTCTGATGATGACATCTCTTTCTTTCAGCGGAAGAGCTCTCCACCCTTTGGGAGTGTAGTCGCCCTTTGGTCTGGGAGAGCCTCTAATTTCTTTACTCCCATCCAGGCCGACTCGATAAGTCGTGCCTATCCTGTCAAGCTTGACGTGCTGGTCGATGTCACTGAGGTAGATCTTGCCGCCACCAGCCGTGCCGGTGGAGTGATGTTCATACTCAACCGCCGGGGGTTCCGCAGGAGGATATAGGAGGATATTCTTTCTTTTCCAGGTACTTCTCCTCGAACTCCCTCATGCAACGATCGAACTCATCTTCTTGGTTCTCGATCTTCTTGGCTGTGTCGGATGACTTGAGCTTCTTCTTCTTCTTGGCCTTGTCACCGTCATCTCCACCATCTTCGTCTTCACCGTCATCATCATCATCATCATCATCATCATCATCGCCGTCGTCAGCTTCTTCTTGATATCCCCGGTCAGCCATGCCCCGCAGAATTTACAAAACGCTTTATAGAGAAAATAGCTGCTATAGAATGCATAACCAAACATATTTTCTCTATAAGATGTACAGCCAGGGTTTTATATGAAGTGACCCTCCTTTACGTTAAGGACCAAACACTGCCTATATTGGCTCACCAACAGTGGTGAACTATACAATGGCAGTCACTTTGATTTTGTACAATGGGCAATGCCTATGAAATGGGAAGGTAAATATACATTGGCTCTATGACATGATCACTGTTCTGTGTGAAATTGATACTATTTCCTAATGTTGAGACATATCTTTAAACCTTCTCACTAAGAAATTGGCATGTGTTTACAAGCGAAATGAAAGCCAAAGGGTAAAGATAAACAAATATAAACACCTAACATGATCATTTTGCCTGACCTTGCACTATGAAATCATACGGTCGTTGTTTCCTTTCATTCATTATCTAAAAATATCTAAAATGTTTCTGGATGGGAAATCTGGGCCACTTTGAAATGACACGCGCCACCAAAATGACCCCGGTGAACCTGTCATACGAGCTACAACTGTTTGGAAACCCATCTCATAAAGAGAACCAGAGGCTGAAAGTGGTTTAAGTGGTTTCAGGATGTTTCAGGATGTTTCGACATGTTTCGAGATGTTTCGGAATGGGAAATCTGGGCCACTATGAAATGACACGCGCCACCAAAATGACCCCGGTGAACCTGTCATACGAGCTACAACTGTTTGGAAACACATCTCATAAAGAGAACCAGGGGCTGAAAGTGGTTTAAGTGGTTTCAGGATGTTTCAGGATGTTTCGAAATGTTTCGAGATGTTTCGGGATGGGAAATCTGGGCCACTATGAAATGACACGCACCACCAAAATTAAATGACCCCGGTGAACCTGTCATACGGGCTACAAATGTTTGGAAACCCATTTCATAGAGACATCCCAGTTTGCTTCGCAGGCAACCGGGCCAACCCCGTTGAGACATACTAGTAATCAAAATAATGTTGAAGTCAGCTACACGTGTGGGGAGCGCACATATTTAGCATTCCCGAACAAAATTGCCTAAATTAAAAAAGTCAGCTAAACGAATACATACATACATACATACATACATACTTACATACATGCATACATACATACATAGATCACATACAGACGATAAGAATCTTATCGTCTGTATCGTTTCCCATTTCTCACATCAGCACCGAGGGTAGAGACAGAATGGGGAGGAAAAGCGCAGCACAAAGGAGGACCTCCGGACGGTAAAGGCTACGGAGTAGGAGGACACAACAACAGGAAACACACACCTTGGGGCTCACGACCTTGGAAGTCCACAACGGGGAAACACAACGAGAAGACCAAAACCACAAAATAAGAAAATGCGTTTTGAACATGAAGCTCAAAATGAAATTGCACATTTTTCTGCAGGAAAGAGAGATATCATAAGATGCACTTATTTGCTCATCGTTCTTGATGTTCCTTCTTCATTGCTTTCATGAAATTTTGTGATGCTTCCATTCTACTTTCATTCATTTTCTCGTTGAGCCTCTGCCATGCTTTGAGGCGTCCGTGAAGCAGTGACAAAAAATGGCGTGTTTCCAGAACAACATCAACACAACACAAGTCCAAAATTTCAATATCACAGAAAATGATAGACAATGTATGAATATAAATATCGATTTAATTTCATTTATGAAACCAATTGAAACCGTGTGCAATCATAAAAAATCATAGTGCAGCCAACTTCTCCACAAACCACAAACATCTCACAAAATCTCACCATCTCCCACAAAAATTCTTTGTGCCGAACCTTAACGTGTTAGATTTTGTAGGGATGTTTTTGGAAACATAAAGAAAAAACGCATAAAAACAGGAAAAAAAATCGGGGTACATTAAGATGAGGTGGTTTTTATAATGTTGTCCCTGGATTGGGCGTACTCTTTTGTGATGAAAATTATTAGCGCGATGCCAGCTATAACTTCTCGCTCCCTGGGAGGCACGTATCAAAAAACTAAATATAAATGCATTGTGAAAGCCTTGTCTGATTGTACTCCTCTATGAAATGACCCCCTCTCTGTCTATGAAATGACACCTTATTTCACTATATAATGTATGTCAAACCTTTATTTCCGCACCATTCACCAAGCATGTGCCCAAAAAAAGATACACACATCATTTGGCCATCTATTGAATGACCTTTAAAAAGGTACCTAAAAAAAACGCATTCAAAAAACGCATTTCATAGAGACAGAGGCTAAGCCAGCGGCTAAGCATTCCATAGGCTTTCACGAACCGGGGATTTCTTGATCATGAATGAAATCAGGTGATCCATCCAGACGATCCCTCACTGCCAATCCGTCCAATGTGGTGTTCATCCTTTCATAGACTTCTTTGCATGGAAAAGTCACGGGCAGGTGCATCGCGATCCTCTCAGTGAGATGCGGGTGTTTCAGTTTCAGCTTCTCGATGAAGTCAAAGGGGTAATTCTGCTTGGTCATGTCGGAAGCTGCCCACACCTTGTACAGTCGAGACCATTGGACACCGGTTGTGATCTCGTATCCAGGAAAGATTCCAAGGATGCCCTTGGGGTCGAACTTGTGAGACTGATCTCTCTTCCGGGCAGCACTCGGTTTGAAGTAGATGAGCGCTCCGAACGGGATCTTCTCGCTCTTGAACTCCTCACCATGAAGTTTACACCAAGCGCGGCTTCCAGAAGACATGTAGTCGCTGTTGCCAGGATGAGCTGAGCTGGTTGTTGCGCTCTGCAAGGAAGTTCTTGGACGGCTTTCCAGGAAGGGCATGATCAAATGGGATCTTCAGGATGCCCATTGCCTTCACGAACTGTCTTGCCTTGTCTGAGTGAGCTTCCCTGATAATTCGCCTTCTCATGAATTTCTTGATGGTCAAGACCACGTCGTCAGTGTTCTTTGTGGGGGCAGGATAACTTTGAATGACACCAGTGAACCTATCCCGCACCACCAGGATCTCCTTGACTGTTTCATATAGCTTCTCGGTCTTCCTGGTGTCCATGAAGTCGAACGTGATGATCTCCGAATTTGGAAAGCTTGCGTCTGAAGGTTCCCCTGAGTGTTCTATGGTGCTTCATTTTTGCTCTGATGCATGAGTTGCAGTGAGGGTTCTTGTAACGATGAGTGAGCAAATGTTCGAGGGTCTACGGTCTTCGCTTCATGTTTCAACGTTCCCCTCTTTGCTAACCTGACCTCACCATCCATGCCTTCGACGTCGAGATCATCGTCATCATTTTCTACTTCACGGGGTCCAACTTCAACACCGACGTCACCATCCAGTTCACCACCCTCTCTACGGACGCCTTCATCTTCATCATCATGATCTTCTTCTTCTCTGGCGTCTTCATCTTCATCGTCACTGTGTGCTTCTCCTTCTGCCGGCTCACTTTGTTCATACCCTCGTTCTTCATCGTTATCTGCCGGCTTCTCCTTCCTCTTCTCCGGGAACTACTTTGAACTTCTTCCGGATACGTCTCCTCCTCTTCTTCGTCTTCCTCGTCGATTCCGCTTCCTCGCTGAAGGACGTGGAAGTTTCATCAGACAATTCCGACATTTCACCACCACTTTATCCATCAATGTAGATGGTGCGATTGACGGTGTCCTTCATGAGACCCAGAATCTTGGCTACCATCTTGGCTTCCTTGTCTGTAATTGGACGACATTCCTCGTGACGCAGGTAGACGTAGGGGATCAAATCTCCGACCTCCATCTTGATCTTCTCACCGATGGGATTGATCAAATAGGGACCACGTCCACTGGTCACTGGGCCAGACAAACGGTAGCCTTGTTCCACACATCTCTTCCCCAATGACAACATTGAAGGAGTATCTATCCTCCAGGACATGCGCCTTGGCGGGCTCATTGAAGGTGTCAAAGTCCAAGTCAACCATCGATGTAGTGGATGTCACACCGTTCGCCGTGTGGAAGTTGATCTTGTTGCTCTCATATGGGTTAAGATCCATCCTCTCGACTTTCTCAACAGAGATCAAGTCATGACCACTGCCTGAGTCCACGATGAATCGAGGGTCCCAAAGTTCAATTGGCATGGTGATGCCCCTAACATTACCCTTCTTCCCAAACTTCCCAGGTACATGAGGTATGGTGTCGTCATGTGTCGTCCTCAAATAGTTCGGCCCTGAGGTCCTCTTCAAGATCCTCGTCGCTCTTCATTCTCACCTTAAGATCAGTCTTGGGACTACGGACAGTGTGTAAGTGTGCCTCATCGCCATCACTGCATTCATACTGTGAATCCATGAGCATTGCCATAGCACGACCACGGGTTGCACCAAGTTTGCATCGGAGAATCCATTGCATGTCGTCACGGAGCTGTTGAATAGTTCGTGTTTCCTTGTCAATGTTATTTGTTTTTTCCTTTGCCTTGAACATGGTATGTAGTCGTACTTGACATAGGACGATGTCAATCATCTCTATGTGGTCATTGAACTTCACCTTCTTCGGTTACTCGAGCGTGTTGGGGACAGTCTTGAAGAATGCATCGCAATATATCGCTATCATCGTCCAAGTTGCCGACGATCGCTGGGGTGGCCTTGGCATTGTTACCTTTTTGGCGTTGAAGGTGCTGCTTCCTTTCCCTTCATCTTTGGGTCGTGCTTGAACTTGCATGTATCTCCTCTTTTGCATTCACCTCTAGCCCAACCATAACAATGCTCATTCTTCTTCCCACTCGGCGTGTGTTGATCATCCTGGCGGCCTGCTCTTGCCCTTGCCTTTCCCACCTGTTTTCTTCTTCTTATCCCAGTGGTATTTGGAATGGCTATATGGACATCTGTCACCATGTTTGCAGTTGCCCTGGTTGAAGTGGTAATGACAGAAAGTCTTCGCCTTCTCCCTGGACGGTGATCTTGATCTCGGCTTCCCGCCCTTGCCGTTGTGGCTCTTCGGGTTAAAAGATGGTAACGCCGGAGTTGCCTTAGGCTTTGCCTTGGGGTTAGGCGCGGCAGGCTTGTCTGCCCTGCCACCAGAGTTCTTGTCATCACCCTTGTCAGGTGCTGGAGCAGCAGGCTTCGGAGCTGGAGCGCTCGGTTTTCCAAGGGTCGTGTAGTCGGTGGTGCCATGCTCTTGTCTTCTCGAACCCTTGCAATGTGCCGTTTCATAATGTCCAACAGCTCCTTGTAAGTCTTCTTATCACCCTCCTCCTCTCGACCTTTGAAGATGACGAGGTCCACATTCAGCGCTGCGGATCCTTCAAATTTCCTGAGGAAATGATCACGAAGGGTATAGAGGGAATGTCCTCAGGCTTCATGTTGGCGATGATTTCCAACCAGGCGTTGAGGAAATTATGCGTCGCCTTGTCCACCCGGTATCGTAGCTTGTAGAGATGACCGGCATTGAACAATGTTTCATCCCGCGGTGTAGTCCGGAAGTGATCCAGTATCATTGCAAAGATCTTTCTTCCCATCAGGAAGTTAATGGAAGTTACCCTTCGTTCCGAGCTCCTGACTTCTCTGCCTGATTCGTATATCTTGACTTCCGAGGCCACTTCACCAGCGTTCGCGACCATGTTCTGAAGCGCGATCGGCAGCTTGGAGCCAATGGATTGGAATCGGAAATCTCCCGAATCTGCAAGTAATTCATAGTCACAGTCAGGATGAGACTTCTGAGCTGGATCCAACCAATTTTGCAGGCTTGTCTGTCAGGACCGCCAGGCGCGACACAAACTGCATGGACCGCACCCGAATGCCAGACATCCAAGTCGTGACATCTTGGCCATGGTTTCACGACTACCTTTTCGTGTTCTCGTCGGGAAATCCTCGTGATCTGTCCGTCACCTGATGCCTTGCCCACAACTGATCCATCATGTTGGTCCCAGATCCCAGGAGGGTTGTCCGGGACAGGCTCGAACTTGCCCATGTTCTCATCAGCGCCTTTGATGGACTCTTGACCTTCCTCAATCTGCCGTAGCCACGGCTTGTATTCCCTCATCTCTTCGTATAGTTCCTCTCAGCTCGGGCTTCTTGTTCAACAAGTTCGTCCCTGAGCTTCTTGTTAATCTCATCTTGAGGGTTCGTAGCTTGGGTTGGCATAGAAGCGCCCATCTGGTTCGTGTTCATCATGTTGTTCACTGATGTCGTCAATGCAGGAGCTTTCGGCAATCTGTAGATCGCTTTCATGCCACTGGGTTGAGGAATGGCATGAGTCACGTGAGGTGGAGGGGGCGCAGATTGCACTAATTCCATCGATCCACCACGCTGCGCATTGAGTTCACCAAGCTTCTTGTTCGCCTCCTGCAACTCGACGTAAATACCGTTCTTCAAGATCGCATCATCTCTCTGAATCATGATCTCCGTTATCTCTAGTCGTTCTTTTGTCCATTGCTGCGCTCTGTTGGAAGATCCGGCCATCCTTCACGCGAAGTTCTTGTTGTAGTCGGCTGAATTCTTTTCGAAGTTCTTCGACAACCTGTGAATTGGGCGAGTTGGCGACATCATCCCACTTACCCTGCAAGATCTCAGTGACACGTAGTAGGCGAAGTTGTCAGATGACTTCAGATAGTTCAGCGTTCTCTTCCTTGAAGTTCTCCATTACTGCCTTGATACTGGACTCGTTGTCCAAGATCATGCCCTTGTCACGCCGAAGTTGATCAGCAACCATTCTTTAGTTAATGCATTCATGTTCGTAGTTGCTTATCTTCTTTCTCTGCTCGATGACCTCATTCTTCAATGTCACCGCAGGGTCCCTCAAGCTCATCCTCCTTTGTCGAGATCCATGTTAAACAAGGTCTTCAGTTTACCTGCATAGGCAATTTGATCACGCAGTTTCTGCTCCAGGTCCTCGATCATGAGATCTTTCTGCCTCATGTTCTCCGCAAGCTCTGTGACCTGACCCTGCATGCGGACTAGTTCTTGATGCTTGATCGTCACGGCATTCTGAGCATTCGCCCGGGGGTTCTCATTAGTTGTTCACCATCACCATCTCCGCACTGGCAGCTAACCTCGAAGTGATAGATGCCATCTCCTGACGGTTGACCTCCTCCTTCTCGGCAACGTAGTCGTGGCATTCTTGTTGAAGTCGTTCTCCTTGTTGCTGAAATTGTTCTGCCGTCTCCTCTGCGTCATGATGTTGTTCTTGTATGTGACGAACTGCATTCTCGAGTTCAGAGTGGCATTGTTGCCGTGTAATTTCACTTTCTTGAATGATATGCCGTGCTCCATCCTCAGAAATCTCATTGCGACGACCAAGTTCCATGATCCTCATATTAGAGCCTTGATCCATGAGATGTGCCCCGGCAAGAGCCTCAGACTGTTCACTCATGATACGTGCTGCACTGGCTAGCGATTCTCTCATGTACTCAACCTATCTCAACCTCAGTGGAGTTGGAATAGATTTCCTTGTCACACATTGCTTCATTGCGATGACGTAATGCGTCCTCAAACAAGTTGACTCTTTCTTCAAGTTCAAACCTAGCTTTCTCACTCTTGTCCATCTCATTGCTGTCATGTAGAAGTTGCTTGCGAAGTTCACTTTCGCCCCGAGTTGCGCTGTTGGAGGATTTACATTTCGCAGTGCCAGCTGAAGGGCTTGCACCGTTACTCCGTGTAATGTTGGTCGAAGGGCCTACATTACTTTTGTCCTCCATAGCAGGTCTCGAAGGGCGTCTCGCTGATCTTGCCGAAGACGATCTCTGTGGTCCCCCCCTTGGAGTAGTTTATAGTAGTTTGGCCATGAGGTAGTACCTCCACCACCGGTAGGGCAAGGGGTGCGGGTTGCCGAAGCCAATGAAAATGAACCACGTTCAATCAGCCGCCAGTCTAGCTTTGCAGTGCCAAGTTTGGCTGAAGCTTGGATAGCCGCCACCGGTCAAGCTTTGCAATGCCAAATTTGGCTGAAGGTTGTGTGGAAGTAGCTCTTGAGCAGTTGGCTGCGGGACCACCGTACGCCCCAGGGATCCCCAGGGTAGAGCGTACGGCTGATAACCTGAGATTGGGTACTGATATGGTTGTACTCCGCGACTCTGATGTCCTTGATGATAAAGTTCCCGTAAGGATCCGCAGTCACCCAGTGCCAAAGCGCAGCGCCCTTTTCCTTTGCTACAGTCGTTTGTTGCTCGAGCCAAGGCATCGGGATATGATACTGATGTTCTCGCGTGCCGGCCCACATGCATGACCTATATGGGGTAATGCCTGGCCTATTCACAAGAACATATTAAAACGGCCTGTAAACAGCGATGGACAAATACAGTAACTTGTATATATATATAATATATATATATAATATATATATATATATATATATGTGTGTGTGTGTCTTATGCTGATCATAAACAATGCGTTCACCTCTTTGGTTTAAAGTCCATGTAAGGCTCTGGCCCGTCGAGGCTTCATGAGCTCTCTGATGCTCTCGGCCATTCGTTCCGGATCGATGATATCTTGACTTGCCACAAGGGGTGCTCTGACCACCACAGCTTGCTTCGAGATCCGTGCGAACATGGGGAAGATCTGAGGGTGCTTTCGGATTGGATGCGTGGTGTCGCCCAAGATGTGCATCAAGGTCTTGAGTAACTGATCTGGAGGCATGTCTTTACTTGGAAATGATCCACCTTTGGCGTAGACTCTGTCAAACAAGCTCTTGGATTTTGTCAGCGATGGTTCGGAAGAAGACTTGTTCAGACCAGTATCCCGCATAGTTTGCGAGAAAGCTTCCTGCGTGTCTTTGAGGGTGGTTAGTGCTCGTGTCAACGCAATGCTTTTTTTGGTCCCAGTTGGGGACGTTGGCTCCGCTGTGTCATTGAGAGGGTCCGTCCACATCTTCGTTGTGGCAGACTTGGTGAGTCGAGGCGCCTTTTTGCTGACGAGTTCTGGAAGAGGATCTGCTGCCTGCCTGGTGGGCATCTGTGGCCCCCGAACTACCTGTATGAGCCCTTGGTGAAGCAGGGCGATCTGCAGCATCATTGAGTTGCGCCGCACATGCCGCCACTTGGGGATCACACTTTTCAATTTGAAAGAACCACACATGACCTGGTCTGAAGAGATGCCCAAAAGGTTTGCAATTTCTTCAGCTACCATACAGCGCAGAGACTCCAAGTGAGACTCTCCATAGCTGATTTCGAAAGGCTCTATGCAGAACTCAATGTCTGCAACAGCTGCTAGTACCAGATCTCCAAGCTGTCTTCCCAAGGATTGCAAAATCTGCGGGGCAGAGTGGATAGCTAATCTTGATGGCCCGTCTACATTTGCGGCCTGCGCTTGGATATAGAGTAATCGCCACGTGTTCGGTTTGTTTCTGGCTCTCTTGGCCCAGATCTCTAGCTCTTGTGCTATGCCTTCTTCATGTCGACCATGCAGCTTGGCTGGATCCAGTGGAGGACCTCCTTTCTGCGCGACGCAAATGCGGCAAGTTTCGCAGTCAATGTTCACCGCGCGAGACTCATCTGGATCAGGGACAATGGATGGTAATGCTGTAGATGTTGTCTGAGGGCCCAGCATGATAGCCACCTTCAATGCCACTCCAACTACGGCACCTGAGACACACTCGGGCCAATCCACCTCTCCAGGAGCACCTGTCACTACAGCATCTGCTTCTTCTCTTAGTCTTACCGTGGCGATTGGGACACGGTACAAGAAAGTCCCACCACCTCGGGAGATGAGTTTCTTCACTGCATCCTTCACGGACTTGAAAATTGGATTCCTGTTGTCTGTTCTCTCACTGATTTCTGTGACGGAAATTGCTGGTGGCGACTGCACTTCCACAGCAGCTGGCACACAAAGCCGCAAGTCATTGAAGGGCTCTAAACGCCAGGCTGCAACACCCTCACTTTTGCCAGGGCCCAGTCGGTAGACAATGCCCTTGCTGTCCTTGAGTGATGTACTCAGCGAATCGATGCTCCAGTTGTTCCCTGTGGAATATTCCATGGGAAGCGATGCACTCGTGTCTGCGCCATCTTGACAACACCGCCGTCCTAACAACAGCAAGTCACCGACTCAAAGGGTTTCAATGGCACAACCACTCTGAAAGCCCAGCTGTCTCTTACTATGAGAATCTCCGAGCCATCTATTCCCTCCTTGTCTGGAAACTCAAACAGGCGTGAGCGAAAACCTTCTTAGCCACACACGTCTTACCATGTCTTACCACAGGAAAGAACAAAACACAGCTAGCTACATCAGCAAGACTTCAAATTGCATTGGTTCTGACTGCAAAACACTGGGCAATATCTCCCCATACCGGACAGCAAACACAAAGTGGTGGCTCAAATGACATTGATCTATGGGTGACGCATTGGTGGATGCAGGAATATTGGTTGCATAATGTGGGATCCGGGCTATTCAACCATCCCTAATTGTCAAGCATTCTCCAGTACTCTCCAGCACACAATGAACCACACAATGCCACAAATAAATTTAGGGCGGTTTGTTGTTGTGGATCCTGCATTATTCATTACTAGTATATGGTAAACCCGAACCGTAATTACAACACATGTCTCCACTTCAACATTTTTCATCCCAACGCTTCTCCTAAAGGTGCGAAGACCGAAGACGGCAATTCAGCAGCTTGGCATCCTAAGGAGCGCCACACCCACATTGCCCGAGGGGCCGCTCAGTGTACTATGAGCCCAGGCAGCGACTCCACAGCGAAGAATTTCAGAATGTCCAAACATGTCCAAACTCCAGGCCATGCAAAATTCACCAAAAATAACGATTCATAGCGCATGTGCCCACATGTGCCAACATCATTCAACATCCATTACAGCGGTCAAATCTGTCTGTCTTCTTGTCACCTATCCAACCTATCCCCGTTAGTTGTTCATTCTACCATTACCTATGCAAACAAATGCTGTGGGCCTTGCGTGTGCAATCGTTGCAGCATTCAGGGCGAAGAGAATCAAATCAAAGTACCACAGGGCCTTTTTCTTCAAAGGGTCCATCCTGCTTTGCATGAGACGGCAGAATTCTTGTAGCTGCAAGCTAGGAAGATCGCCTCCTCACTTAGAAATGACAGGTAACAAAGGCACGAAACAAAATAAACTAAGCAAGTCATCCAAATGAATCAATAGATTCCTACCAGCTTGCTGGCTGTAATTGTTTTTTCCCTTACGCTGGCGTGATCTGTTGTGCGTTTACACCATGCAGGCACCAAACTGCAGCTTCAAGACTGTTCTCCCAGCATAATATGCAACAGGGCGACAGGACTGTCCCCTTTGCACAAACACTTCAAGCTTAAAATAGCATGCACAAAATTGGGCTGAACGGCTAACATGCAAGACCACCAAACGTGGAAAGTGCGAGCTGGGGTGGTGGACATTCCATCCTGGTATTGACATATGAGGTCTCATATATTTGATATATCTTGGTGCCTGGCTTTTTACAATCATGAGACCTGAAATATGCTGCACCCTTCACTCTTCCCACAAGGGTTTCTGCATTGAACGTCCAAGGCCGGGATCAATTCCGTGAGACTCAAACTAAACCATGCAAAACGGTAGACAACACTCACTCTGACACATCACAACATGCAAACAGTGCAAGTGGTAATCTTGTTGTAGACCCAGCCTCAAAGCTCTAACTATATACAACGCCCTGAATTCACCTTGCAAAGGGCAGACGCCAACTCGCACCACCTCAATTTGACATTTCACTGATGTTCATTGACTTTCTACTGAAGATTGTATATAACTTTAATTATATACACTTTCAACGACTGTTTCACATCGGTTCTAAATTCGCTCGACATTGCTCGATCCTCTCCTGTTCCAGAAAGCCGACTGTACGAACTCTGGAACATGCTGTCTCAACAGTGCTGTCTGCACTGATCTACACCGCGGCTCATAGATGCGTACTTTTCTTTCACACCGTCACGTCAGGGCTGCCAGGGGCATCGCTTTCCGGACTCTGTGCATCCGAACTTACCTGGGCGCAAACCCCCTCCAAAATAATCTAAAATACTATATAATTGGCAGCAGAATTGGGTCATGCAGATAGTTTACAGGTCCAATCAAATTCTCTCCATTTGTCACCAGAATTTGGACAGGCTCAGCCCATGAAGCTACGGTATCTCCATGCGGTGACTCTGCAGCGTAATCTGTCACCACTGAAACTGCCAGGATGCCACAGCGGATGCAGGGTCGCTGGAAGAACTGATCGCGGGAACATGTAGATCGAGCAGGGAGACCTGATATCAATTCATGCCACCAGATGCCATCGGATGCAAGGACAATTGCTACATAGTGCTACAGCAAGCGAACATGATTCATGATGCAACAAGATGCAACCATACAAACCTTAGATTGTGCAACTCAGACTGCGGCGGGGAAATTTTCAATCATGCCGGAAAGATTTACCAGTAGTACCACGCAAGGCGGTGGCGGAAATTTCAAAATGGCAGAGCGAACCCGCTGATGGGTCGAAAGATGGGTGGACTGTCAGACTATCTATCTGTCTATCTATCTGTCTATCTGTCTGTCTATCTGTCTATCTATCTATCTGTCTATCTGTCTCTCTCTCTGTCTATCTATATGTCTATCTATCTATCTGTCTATCTGTCTATCTGTCTGTCTATCTATCTGTCTATCTGTCGTGTCTATGTCTTTCTATCTGTCTATCTATCTGTCTATCTGTATATCTGCAGGATTGGAAACGAAGCTACTCTGCGAGACTCCTTTGAAATTTGGCAGTTGGAAGCTGAAAAACGAGGCTTTTCTGCAAGACTTCCTTCAATTTCGCAGGTGGCAGCTGCGACAGCAACATCAGAAACGCAGGAATTCTGCGAGACTTCCTCCGAAAATCGAACTGGCCAATATCAAAAACGAAACAATTTTGCGGGGCTTCGTTCAAAAATGGAAAGTTGAGTGCTGAACTGACAGTCTCGTACCAATGCATTTTACGATTTTTCAGTCCCATCTCTCGAAAGATTCAAAAGTACTGCGCCTGCCACAAAAAAGTGCGGCCAGGTCATAGGATGTCATAGGAAGTGCCGCACGGGTAACGCAAAATCATCTTAGCAAACCTGAAGATCTGAAGCTCCAAAATGCAACCCCTTGCAGGAAATCAGGGTCCTAACATCTCAAGCAGCGTGCCCTTTTTCAACATCTCAAGTTCCAAAAGTGGTCCGACCGTGTGGTGCTTTTACCATTTTGACTTGAAAATGTGCTTCACGACACACCCGCGTGCACTTTTTCGACGTCTCAACTTCCAAAAGTGCTCCAGGGCTGAAGCGCTTTTAATGTTTTGACTTGGACATGTGCTTCGCGCCACGGCCGAAACGCACCTTTGAAGGAGCTCAACTTCCAAAAGTGCTCCGACAATGATGTGTTTAGGACATTTTGACATCGGCGTGCAATTTTTCATCTCTCATCTGACGAGATGGCTCCGCACCCGCCGCTTTAGCGAGCCTGCTTTTCGACCCTCCGGAGACACAAGACACTGGAAAAACACAATGTCTCGCGACTTTTCTACCTTTTCATTCACCTGCATCTTCTTTCTGCTGACTTTTTCTCTTCTGACTGTTTCTCTTCTGTGACTGCTCTCACCTCGGCTTTTCCATCTGTCCATATTGTCCGAAGTTTGACTTCTAAACTTCCTTCGACAACCACATGGAGGATCATGGAAGCGGAATGAAGCGGATGTGTTTATTCATAAGAAATCGATACTCAATGAAAGAGGCATCAGAGATCATCAGAGTCTCACATCTAGCTTGTTCAATGGAGCAACAGGTCGTGGCCTGACAAATGGGACATCTGCCTGAACAGCTTGTGAGCCACTTGCGAGCCTTGGAAAGATTGACAAACATAGCTTCATTCTAAGCTCTCACAGTTCTCACAGGTGCAACTACGATCATCCTATTCTGCCACGTTCTGCAAATATATGCAAATATGTGAGCACGTGCTTGTCAGTTCAAAACCACTTTGCCGGGAATCTGGCACATTCAAAGTGAAAGGCATGACCACAAGGAAGCTGAGGCACCTGGGAACTCTGCACTATTACATCTCTGAACGTTTTCCTGTGTGTCAGCCCGTATCCCGAAAATCGTTTGCCGGCGATCATAATTATAATGGAAATGTGGCAAAGGGCGGCAATGGAAGGAGAAAGAACGACAAGGGAATGAGATTAGTAATGATATTTCTGATGATTCATTTTAATACATATATATATATATAATTGTATATATGTGAATAAAGACGCCTTGCCAAGGCATGTGAATACAGTGAATACACCCAACGTAAGACGACAAATCAGGACTCAACCTTGCAGTCTCCAAGCTCCAACAAGCAAACCTGGCATCCGGCTGCCAAACTTTCAGCTCTGGCACGCTGCAAGTGGCACTTCAAGCTGCTCTTTTCAACATTCATGCAAACATATGGAAACACACCATAACAACCCACGCATTTCAATGCAGATCAATCGATTTCAAGCTGGCACGTTGACAAATAAAAAGTGACAAAAAATCAGAAGATATGACATAACTATACAACCCATAATGTCATACCATGTAATATTGAAAAACCACCCTGACAACTGATAATCTAATTGTATAAAATAATTAAAGAATTGTCAATAGTTGTCAATAAACCAGGCTCAATGATATTATTCCATGGCCCACCATTGACATCCATTGACCATGGCCCACGGGTTGGATCACTTGCACTTGTGACCCAGCAAGGCCCGCGAGGAGTAACCCAAGTGGTCCAAACCCGTCATTAGATCTAAAGGTCCAAACCGGAATGGATCATCAATAGTCATGATACCTTATATATTTATGAAAACTAATCATTGGAAGATTCCTGAAAATCTACGAGTCTACGTCTACGACCATCCATTCAAAACGCCTGACAGCACTTGGAGCTCAAATTGCCAGCAGGAACAAGTGGCAAATCCTCAGCAGTCTGTCTGGTCCGGAAGCGAATTTGCGGCGAGTGTAACATTCATCGCAGCCATCTACATCGCGGCAATCTCTTTCAATCCATTTCGATCCATTTACTGTAAAAACAGACGTATATATATATTCATTAATATTGTATAATACATGCCATTATATATTCCCACCACAATGGAGATCGATTCCCCCATCAGTTTCAAATTGAATAAAGATCATAAAGATTCATAAAGCATCATAAAGCATGGCTCATGTAGCGTACAATACGTGGCAGTTGAGGCCGGGCTGAGGCCACGTCCTGCACCAAAGAATCTGGAAGTATGTTCTTCTTGGGAAGGCTCTCATCCAGCAAGCAGAGCCTTCGCCCGGATCGACCAATCTTTGGGATTTTGGGGTACACTGTCATGGCGTTTAAGGCCTATGTGCCTGCAATACAGCATGTGCCGCATATCATCGTAATTCATCGTATATGTGACAGGTAGATAGTGGTAGATATGTAGTGTCGTATAATGTAGTGTATGCTTCTGGATGCGAAGACAAGCACATCTTAATGTGTACATTTAATTAAAAGACTATAGAATACAATTGTTACAATTATGATTCATTCTGCGCGTTGCTTCATTCTGCATATCGCATGCTGAGCGTTGCATTTCTGAAATCCTGAGACAGGCGCAGTTCATAATCTTCCGGAGTAACCTGGAAAGTTGTAGAAG